CGCGAGTGCCAGCAATGGAGAGAACCATTCCTGTGCGCAACTCCATTGGAGGTATATGCAGCAACTGTCCGATGTGTTTTGTTTGTTTGTTTTCTAAAACCACAAATCTAACGATTTCAGCTTTGGATGGGGGGGTGTTCAACACAGTGTCGTCAACGATTCAACGTGTCCGAGCCCTTGCCCTGCAACTAGTGTCACGTTTTCATCGGGGCAATCAGTTGCCAAAATTGCGTTCAAGGTTTGGAAAACACGCGATGAACGGCGATGAACAACGATGAACGACGATGAACGGACAATACGTGCAGGCCTTGCGTTGTGCAAATGAATGTGGTAAAACAGGACAAAATTCACCAACACTGTATTTGCCTTTTGCAGCCAAGGTCAGAAACAAGTGAAAACCGGCCTCGTCGTCCAACAGCTTGTTCCCACACGCCACAGCATCTGGCCTGATGTGCATGTGGCAGCTCACATACACGCAAGAACTGAACTATTTTGATTGATTGGCAAATCCCTCAACATGGGTCCACGATTTTTACACAACGGCAAGAAAAAACACAAATTGGCGGCGAGTCTTGTTTCCCTTCATGTGACCGGGCATCTGGCGAGTCCGGCAAACTCAGGCCCAGGCTCATCATCGAGTATGATGCCAACTTGGCCTGTGCAAAACCAAACGAATCACATGTTTTTTTTTCATTTGTTGGCCGTCCTGCCCCCCCCCCAAGTTGGCAGAGGCAGAAGGACAACGCCATGTTCCTGGATCTGCTGAACCATCATGCATAGGATTTTGCGATGCTGGGGTGGCGATCCCTGCAAGAACGTGCCAATACATCTCGTATCTCTTTGATTTAGTTTCGGGCAGCTCAGGGCCCGTGCCCATGTCACCAATCCGCACAGTAAGTCCAGAAGATTCCTCGGTGGATCCATGATAGTTTCTCGGTTGCTGTGCTAAATGTTTAATTTTTAGTGGTTTAATGGAGAACCCAAAAAGTTAAAGTCCTAACATTCAAGCAAAATGCACCAAAGGTTTGTTCAGGTACCAAGCGCCCAGCAAACCAAGCCGAGTTGGCGCAAGAGTTGAGGTCGCAGCTGGCGGCTGCGGGAACAAGATCTTCCGCCTCGCTTGCGGGATGGCAAGGCTTCCCTTTGAATTTCTGGCCAGCCAAACCAAACATACTCAACATCAGTGTTATTTTTGCATGCACCTCTCAGGCAGATGAAGTGGGTTGTTACGGGCAGTGGAGTTTGTTTACCTTGCACCTGTCTTGCACCTCCATCGCTGGAACCCAGCATAGAATCAGCATGGGACTTACAGCAACTATTCCGTCGCTCAGGTATCTTCAAGCGCTCGAACACGTATTTCTCAGAAGGCCCTCCCACACGATTGCTTCTTCGGCCAAGCAATCAACATGCCAAACTGCAGCATGCAAAGCGACAAGCCCGGTTGAGCGAAGGCTGAGGCTTCGCCTAAGAAGCATATCGAAGGCTTGGGGCGGCTGGGCTGCCCAGGCTGCTTGGCTGTGTGCTGGAGCAAAGGTTGTCCAAGCCTCGGGGCAGGATTCCCTGCCGCAGGTTCAAAGCCGACACCACCCATTTCTGGCGCCCAAGCATGTTCCTTTTTCATGGTAACTTTCAGGGGGGAGGGGGGCTCAAAGTCATTGCTCGAGCGGAATTCAAGGGTGATCCTTCCCCAAAAGTAACGGGTAAGGGCTCTTGTCAAATGTGGCAGCTCGGAAAATGCGGCGCTTCCGCGCTTGCGTCCACCCAGCGACACTCCCTTAGGCAGACCATTGGGTCCGAAGTTGGCCTCAACAAATGGCCAGTTTCGACCGGGCTAGCTCGACACCGGAGTTGCCTTCCCATACCCAACCGCAGTTGTTCCCCTGACCCTGGCTGAGCAAGCGAGCTTGCTTGGCCTACTGTCAGTGAGAAACTGGAACTGCGCACTGACAGCGCTGACAGGGAGAGGATACGAGGATACTACCTCACCTCAAGTTCTACCTGCCAAGAATTCAGGTCCTCCCTCCGCTTCTTGCCCAGCACTGGCCAAGCCACACATCCCGCATATGTTACATAATTATGCAGAAAGGGTGACGCTAGATTCCCAACGCCCCCCGTAAAACTCAAAGCTTATGCAAAACATGAAGCAGAAGAGTTGCATTGGACATTGGGGGCACACGGCCACCCGCAGAGTCTCTCCTCCCCCCGGAAGATAAATATAACAAGAACAGAAGAACACGATTGAATCCAAACAAACCATGAAGAATGACAACAATTTGGACGACCTACTCCTAGGGTTCTTCGAACATGTCCAGTCTTGGGTGAGCAGCCAACCCATAGCAACCCCATTGGAAGTCTTAAGAGGCGATGCCACTGGCTATGCCTTGCCAGGGTGAGACATGTCGATTGCACTCGCCAGTTGCCCCTGAGCCACATCTTGCTCTCGCCTTTCACTCCTTCCAAATCTCGCATGGCCACCATGCCAACTCTCGCCTTTCACTTTGCCAAATTTCTCGCATCCTTCACGTACCTCTCATTTGCGGCCGTCTCAAAAACTTTCCAGCGATCCCAGTCCAGTCGATTCCAGCGATCCCAGTCCAGTCGATTGCCAGCTTTCGATCCCAGTCCAGAGGCCCTTGCCCAGACCAGGTCGCTCGCAGATGAGTCTGGCCTCAGTCCGGAGAGGGAAACCCCTGGGTGATTCTGAGTGGTTTCGGGGTAAATGGGATCTTCCGCCCCAACCGAACCACCAGTTTCTGAAAGGCTGAAAGCCTTCATGGCCAGCGGCCTGGACGTGCCGCCCCCCAAAAGAAGATCCAAGGGAGTGTTCGGTCAACCAAATAGCCATGGGACCTCGCAGCTTACCCTCTGGCGAGAGGATTTGCCTGGAAGGTGCCTGGAATCTCTGGAAACTCCAGTTCTAATTGGCGGTAAAGTGGCCAAAATGTGACGGATGAGTCCAAAAGTGAGTGACCCCATGTAGCTCCACTACGCAATGCACGAAGTGGCAAGTTGTCCAGAAGCCTATTTTTCAATAAGCAAACACCGCCGCCACGGTCACCACGTCACTATGATATTTGACAAAGCTGATCCGTGAACACGATGAGTGAATCATGGGGATCACTCCTCAGCGAATGTCCCATCAACCCGGATTCCGTCCAAGAATTTCCTTGGCTGAAACGGCAGACCCTCAGATTTGAAATGAACTGCATAGATTTCCCTTGCACCCACGCCAGAATAGGGCAGGTACACACAAGTACCTTGACTTGCTGCGATAAGTAGGGAATGTGGGAATGAACCCAGGCGTGTCCTTTGGTCCTTTGGTCCCCTAGGAAACCAGCTGCAGGACATTCTACAGGAGGTTCGCCAAATACCCACCAAAACCAGGGCTTTCCTACCGAACTTCCTCTTCTTGGTTTCTTTGGACCATGAATTCAGGGATTCCCTTAAAGGAAACCGCCAGGTCACCAGTTGGATGGCTGACTTCCGCTCAATGAACCTCTCAGCTCCAGGCCGATGCCCTCGGCATTGATCTCGGCCTGGCCGACCCGTGGGTCTCCATCCGATCCAAAGGTGGCCCGGAGATACCGAAAGGAAGCCGCCATGTTAAGAAGAGGGGTCCCTATTTTAAGACACATACCCCTATGTATGTATATATATATGGGGGGGGTGATCAAACGGCGCATTCTATGGGATGACCATTTGGTTGGAAAAAAAACGCAGAAGAAGGCATGATACTTTTTACCCTTTGGCTCCGGAGGCTGTGCCGGACGCAATTGGAAGCTTCGTGAGGACCATCCCACTAAATGGGAACAAGTTAGCCATGCTCCAAGCAAAAGGACCGCTTTCGCAACATGTGTTCCACGCTCCCGCCGCAAAAGTGTCGAGCCGATCCGTTGCACGGGATCACACATGCGCTGCACGTGTCAGAGGTGCACTGGAATTGCTCGCTTGGGTTGCCTTTATGTAGCCCAACCGCAGCAATAAGAGGAAACCTTTCAAATAGCCGAGGCTGCATGAGGGGGACCTCAGCGCCATGTAAAATGGAGTAGGCAACTGCTTGACCGCTAGCTGCACCCGTTTTCGGCAAGGATGTCAGGATAGCCAAAAGCCAAGTGAGAGTTCAGAACACACCATGCTTTGAACTGCACAGACAGCAATCACGTCGGGTTGGTGAGTGATAAGCAACTGTGGCTGGGGTGAGCAAAGCTTCAATTGCAAGTCTTTGTTCGCTTTGCGAAAACCCGTCTGCGGTTTGGAACATCGATCCAAAGGTAAAAACTACTGGGTGAACACTGGGTTCCCTCTCACGCTCTCTCTCTCTCTCTCTCTTTCTATCTCTCTCTCTCTCTAGTCATCTGCACAATTTCTGCCTCCACATAGCCGAGACTATGTATCCAACCTCGAGACCAAGCCATACGCAAACAGTTCACGACATATTCGATTCGGGCCACTGTGATACCGGTACTCAACTTACATGCCGCGGCCAACTGATGAACGTACCTTCCATTTGATTGAGAAAAAAATAAAATATGTCCAGTAGTGATGGATTCCCTTTAAAACCATCAGGGGAAACATATTCTTAAGCAAATGGCGCAAATGGAAGGTACTGATGTTGTGCTACACATTGGCCCCCGCACCTCTACACAGTCCAGCTTCATCTTGGCGGATGGCACTGTTAGGGCAAGGTCCCCCACCTGCGATCGCGAGAAGACGCTCGGCAGCGTGTCGAAGCCCCTTTGCGGGCAACGAGCTCCTTTTGCCGCTGAGCATCCGCTCATCCCCCCTAGCTTCAGGAGGAGGGGGGGGGTCCCCAATTCCATTTATCTAGCCTTCCCCATACAGGGGAAAATGGAACCACAAATGGAATTGCAGGGGTCACCACCCTCCCCAATTCCATTTTTAAGGGGGTGGGGATATCCGCTCCCTAGCTGGCCAGGAGAACACAAGGAGACGTAGCTACCCAGCCAAAGCAGTAGGCCGAGCCTCAAAAGCAGCGCAGGAGCAAGCAACAACCAGCAATGTCTTCAACAATCCGCCCGTTTCTTGCTCACTTGCGTGGCCTCATTAAAGAGAACCGCCTGCAAGTAACCCATGGCAGACAGTCAAGAAACGTACAGAGGCCACGCGGACCCTCACTGGGCCCATACACAGCCCACGCCAAGACCACACAAAGCCAGCACAGGCTTGCTAAAGCTCGAAAAAGCCCCCGTACCCAGCCCACGCAAACACACTCACTCTCACCCACACAACCATATGTACGTGTGTACACACACACACATATATATATATATATGTTGCAAATACCCACACATTCTCACACGCGCACACACACACACACACATTGAAGCGAATCCCACCCTCCCCCTCCCTCCAACACACAAACACGCATATGTATATATACATATATAGATTATCTTTTTTGCCGGGGAATTATATATACAGATATATGCGTAGAGTAAAACATGTCTAACAACCACACAATGCTCGTACTGTGCAATAATGCCTGTACAGTGTGTCTGGTCTTTGTGTCACCCTAGAAATGGCACAAGCGAGCAAATAAGCTGCAAATCACGCTGACCACCCGTGCAATTGCTCCATCTGCGTTGCTTGCATGATGTGTGTCGCCTGCGCCCGGCATTCACCCATCTGGATGCTTGCTTCAGAGCCAGCGATTGAGAGTCTCAGCCTGAGGCATGCGGCCAAGCGGCGAGCGAGAAGGAAAAGCAGTCAAAGATAAGGGCTGGTTGGTCAACTGAAAAACGGTCAATCATGTTGCTCATGTGACATTATGTCTTCCAGTCTAGGTATCGACAGGGACGGCTGCCTTTTAGTTCTGCCTGAATCTTCCTCCAATGCAAGGGTAGTCCTATCAGGACAAATTGTAGGAATCCACCTGCCGGAGTCGAAGACTCCTCCAAAATAAGACCTTCATGATAGATTGATTGTTCAGCCGGCCCCCCACCCCCGACCTACAGCAGTCACCCTAAGCTGCTGGCAAGGGCATGCGGTCATCGCCTACAGGCGGACGAAGGCAGGCGAAGGTGGCTGCAGATCAGCCACATGAGTGTGGCTCAAAATTATGCAGGAGGGGCAAACTGCAGGTTTTGGTCCATGTTTCCACTTCCAGGGTTCCATTTTGGGTACCGGTTATTTGAGCCAGAGCCATATACCTACCCCAACAGAGATGAGGAAGACTGCAACTGCAACGAAGCAAATCCAGGATGAGGACTGCTGGGTTAGGGCAAACCATGCCAGTCAGGCCATCTGCCACTTGGTCACCAAAGCTGGATGGAACACCCTTAAGCTGCAGGCTGAAAGGTCAGAGCTTCAACCACGTTCCCACCTTTTGTGCCCCATGCTGGCCTTCAACGGCGTAGGCATCATCCAAATCCTTGCGAGCAAAGCAGGCGATGTTGGCGCCTACTTGAGGCCAGAGGCAAACGAAGGCCATTTTCCCGCAAGGTCGACCAGCGCAGCTTCGGCGCACTTAGGGTTGACAGGAGAAGAGTGGAGCGAGCAGAGAAGAGCGATGCGAAGAGTGAAGAAACGAGGAGATGAGCGGAGCGCAGAGTTGGGACGAAGAGGGAGCTGGTGACGCCTGTGGGGAGCCTTGCGCAGTCCGGAGTGGGGGGGTCGGGGGCGGGGATGTCTTGGACCGCAGGGCACAACAAAAAATGATATAGCGCAGCAATGTGGGAATCGCTGGCCCCATGAATGGCTAAAGAAAGGGACTCCAGCTCGCAAGCTATAGCTTTGCTTCGATATCTCGTACGGCCCACGAGCCTGCCCATAACAATCAGGGTTCTACCGCACAGCTGCCATTGGATCATGTCCGAGATCAACTGCACTGAGTTGAGAGGGGGGCCACTGGGCCGGCCGAGCCATGTCAGCTATGGCCCACACCATGTCTGCCACCTGAGTGGAGCATTGGTAACAAGACATTGCGCGGCATTTTGCAGCGGGCTAGGTTGCTCCCCTTCCTTGTCAACTGGATCCTGATGCACTGCACAACGGTGCTCACACAAATGACTTGTCCAAGTATGCAAAACCTCCCACAAACACTTCAATGGCGTGTGCGACGCGGCGCTTGGCAAACAAACACTAAGGCAGCAGCCGTCAGCTTGTCAGCCTGGCCGCTGACTCCACTGACTGCCATGACCCCAGCAGCACTGCCCACACGATCCCAGAGGAAATCGCTGCATTCGCTGATCGTGTGAACAAGCACACCTCGGGTGTTGTTGGTGGCCAGGAATACAAGAAGCAGGTGGAACGCAGCTTTCCCACAAGGTGCAACGCATTCCTGCAGAGATGTATTTGTATACATAATTATGTATAGCTTGCACACAGATGTCGCACATATTTCCTACGCACATCTACGCACTGTATTTGCATATGCGCAGGAGTAACAACGACCTGGCCGGGCCCCTGTGCGGCCGTACCATCACGGAAACACGTTCCATCACGTTCCTCAATCACAAAGCCACACAAAGTACTTCAACCGTGGGTGAGCTTCCCCCAGTTTGCTACCTCGGCGATGCAAAGAGCAGCTGCTTCTCTGTTTTTACCGACCTGTCCGTGGCAGTCTCCTGTTGCGCACCATGCCGGCCCCACGAGACGAGAAGCCATAACTGGTTGTGCATGTACTGCAAAAAAAAGAAGAGCTAAACCGCGTCACTTGCCACAATTTCAAGGAGTGCATTCTTGGGTTCTATTGTTTTTAGGTCTCCCCCGACTTTTCGACTACAGGTTCGGCGTAGTAAAACAACAGCAGCATTACAGAATTGCACGACTCATGATTACCCCTGACCAAGAGTCCGCCCTGAATGCAAACCACTTCAAACCAATGGCTTCGCGACAGCTTATTCCGCGCAATGGCGCACCCATCAGGCCCAGCCTCTACGCGGCCCCGCGACACTGGACTGCAGACCGTCTCCTCCTGTCGTCTCAAAAGGATCAACATTGTAAGTCATAGGGGCCATTACAGGATCAAAACACATGGCCGTTAATCTACTTGGCACATGCACGATGTTCAATTGCATTAATATTGGCATGGTGTCATTTTGGGTAAAGCTTTCTCATCAATTCTCGGAACCGCAACGCATTTTAAAATATTTGTATATTGTCATATTATGATATATGTATGTATGCATGTACTTACGTGCGATTCGTAGGTAGGCATGCATGCCTGTTCTAGACACTTGTGCAAAGACTCCGTATGACTCCGTATCCAAACGCCGAAGACCACGCCGGTTTGCCGACTGATCCAAATCGGTGAACATGCATAGGTGGCCCTTTGGCAAAATCTATGGCCATGGCAAATGGAATAAATCCCATCTAAACCAGGGCCCTCTATTCTTTAAGCAAACCAACCAAAATGGACACCTATGTGAACATGCTTCATGTTGCCTTCAAGCACCGTGGCCTCAGTCCCGGCCTTGTTTCTGAATGAGAGGCGCAGCTGGGCGAGTGCTTCAGCATTGGCAGAACCTGGCGAGACGTACTCAGGGCCTCGAGGGGCTTGGAACACAATCACGCCTATGTAAAGAATGTAAAGAAGAAAGAACAGTCGCTTTGGCCTTGTCAGAGCCATGATGTGTAAAGCGGCTGGGGGCGGGGGGGAAGGAAGTCTAAGTAAGGATACCGGCAATCTGAGTAAACATGGACGCAGAATATGCAATTTCAAGCACACAAAAATGCTCAATCCTCTGAGGCCTTGCTCTCTACCTCTAGTCCCACGCTTCAGGCACAGGCCATGCGAGGCCGGACAAGGCCACACCAAATCCCAAGGCCAGCGGCACTCGGACATGGCTCATGCAGTGTGGACGCTGGCTCGTGCCCAGCCTCCAACCTCGACTTGCAGCACATCCTTAGGTGCAAAGATCAAAGTTGGCCCTGAACTGGGAGGCTTCAGGCAAATCGTTGAAAAGCCCCGCGGGGGAAGGGATGACATATTATTCTGGCCAAGGGCTTGCGTGCGCTTGGAAAGCTCTTACCGTCAAAGGCCACTTGCCGCCATGACAAACACCGCAAGATCCGCAGAATTCGGGCAGGTGGGTGGAAGCCTTGCACCTTTTCAACGATAAAAACCAAAGCACGCTACAGGATGCTGCGGGCTGTAAATCGATGCGGCTTGCTTGGGTTCGGCGGCCACACATTTTTCAGTCGACTTCACAATCAGCCATGTTTCACAGCAGCGCAACTTGGAATCTTACAGGAACTCAATAGCGCAACTGTCGCAAAAGACTCAGCAGCGGGCACCGACACGCACAGAGGTGTACTGTACGTCCTGCCAAATGTACGCAATTGCGCTCCGCTATCAGGCACGACTGCATTTGGGCAATATTGCGCAAGTCCAAGCAATGAATGGCACATAAAATACATGGGACCCCTCCCCCTTCAGAGCCGCGGCTCCCTTTTGGAAGACAATTAGATCTTCAACTCCCCAAGTGACCCCAGCGCAAATGTGCCAAGTGCTCGCAGTACTTGTATGTACTTGTCTTCCTCCAGGAGTACGCCACTTGGCTGCTGCTGCCTGCTTCTTTGGGTGTGGCAGTGCAGGCTGGACGAGGGCATCGGCTCGTCTCTTAAACCCAGGGAGATCGTTTTGAGGCAAACGGTCGCGTCACGTAGAATTTGTTGGGAACCCCAGTCCATGCGCTTGCTGAAGGAAGTGGCTGTGGCCCTCAGCAAGAAGATGTGACTTTGAGGGTGGCAGCCTGGCATGCATCACATCCTTTCATGTAGCAAGTGATGCTCAGCAGGGAAGGAGGGAATGACCCCTATAATCAATCCCTGTGGTTTCCTTCAAGGGAATCCCTAAGTTCATACAGCTGGTCGCCCCTCAAAAAGTGGCATTTATGGCTGTCCACTGAATATGCGTCATGCCGGACTTGTTGCACGCATGGCCAAGGCCATGCTGAAAGACTAATTCGCTCAACTTGCTGGTGCTCAGTGGGGAATGTGGGAATGACCCTGGGGTTCCCTTAACGGAAACCACAAGGGATTGTTTATATAGGTCATTCCCTCATTCCCTGCTGAGCACCAGTTGCCACCCATTTTTGTTGGTTGACTTGAAAGGGGAACCCTTGCAAACAAACAAAAGGCACCAAAGGGCAACTGGCAGTCCCTGCCTATCGCGCCAGCGAGTTAAGCAACTTGGCATCGCCCATTTCAGCCGGCTCTTCGCGATGGTTCTTTGATGGCGGCTCCTCGTCGCCAGTTTCCCGCGCGGAGCGGGCAGCGAATACGTCGGCACCTGGGCCGAGGACGTATGACCTGCACCCATTCCAAAAGGCGAGATGGGGAAGGAGTTGCATGCCATCTCCGCCTCAATGGTGCCACTTGCAGTCCCTGGTTGGGAGAATAATGTTCAGCGAATCTCATCACGCAACAGGAACGAGGGGCTGATAACATCAACTGACACCAAAGCCCTTCTACATCATGGCCACTCCTGTGCCGCTGACATCAACTTGCCTGAATCGTGTCTGCATGCGTTGCTTTTTTTCTTTGAGGGCACTTGATAGAGCAAGCCTTTTGCAGCAAAGCAACAGGCAACAATCACAGCAGCAAAACAAAGGTTGTGCGCAGCCAGCTGGCTGGAAGCTGGGGTGCCCGCTCCGGGCCCCGCTCAAGCCTCGGGGGGCGGATCCTATGCCAAGGTCCAGCGACCTCCCAACGAATGGGCACATCACGAAGCACGGAAGGTGCTAGACTTGGTGCCGCGGCTCTTGGTGCTCAGGCACCATGAGTTAAACCAAAACTGTTCAGCCAACAACTGAGTAGAATCCCAGGCAAGCCCCTCAGCAAGCAAACCAGCCAGCAAGCAAGCAAGCCCGCCAGTATGTAAGCAAGCAAGCACCGGAATGAAGGAAGAAGGAGGACAGGACAAGCGGACAAAAGCATAGCTCTGAGAGCAAATTGGCATCGTATGGCTTTGCACCCGAAACTTCCCAGAGCAACCCCCAAACCAACCCGAACCTCACACGAAACGCAGCCGTAACCCTCCTCCCAAACCCCACACCAAAGGATACCCTTATCAACATCCAAACCAACCCCAAACCATCTCCAAACCAAACCTGGGCTCCCCAAAAGCCACGGTTGACCCACCCTAAGTCACACTAAGATGTGGCTGTGTCCACTTTCTGTTGCCTATCCGCCCCGGATAGGAACGCACATGGGAAAACACACATGGTCCTCGAAACGTCTATTATCTTCTGACATCACGCGGGCGTTGCCTTCAGGATTTATGCCAACCTATTGAATCGTTCAGCTGCAAGACCGGCGCAAAAGGACTGCAACAGCAAGAAGCAGGAGCCATCCGACTCTCATGGAGGGGTTGCTGAGGTGGAACTTGACCCCCTTGGCATCTTGTGTTAGAAAGCAAGGGTTGCCAAGTAACCACCCACCAACCATCGCACCAAGCGCAGGGTCGTCAACTCAGTATGGTACCTTAAACATGGGCCATCATGGGCCGCCTTCCGACAAATCACATATCTGCAAAACACACAATGCTCCCCAGGACCCCATGCAAGCATCCCTCATCTTCATCGCGGAGATCATTTTACTCCAAAGCCAAATATGTTGAGTCTAGAGAAATGTCATTTGGGAGCAACCTCTTGGGTTTGCAGCTTGCAGGTCACTTTGCGGAGTAACTACTAAAAACTCCAGGGCGGGGCAAAAAATATGGTTTAAGCACGGCCTTCACAAGAAATCATCACCATCAGTGCTTTAAACATCTTTAAGCCCGTAGCCCCGTAGAAAACCCATTGCCCCAACAAACGTGGCGCCTGTGGGAAGGCTGGGGTGCTGCGTTGGTGGAAGGGAAGGTACTAGTAGAGCTGTGGCCGCGGCGCGCTGCCGCAGTCTCAGCCTCGATGAGTGCCTGGCATCTGGCGATTTGGGACGCCCTTTGGGGCAACTCCACCAGGCGTCTGTTCGCGGTTGTGTCAACCGTATATATATATATATGTATATATGGCTATGATTTTTTCTGAGGGTCTGTAGCGCGCGATGCGGCACGAATCTTGTTACAGAGGTCTGTGACGGAGGTCCTTGTTACGCAGATCTGTAACGAGAAAACATTTCTTGACAAGCACACTGTAGCGCAGAACAACGACGAGCAACAGCTCCTGCTCGAAAGTCGTGAAGTACAAGCGCATTACGCCAAGCACGCCTCCCAGCTTGAAATTTGCAACTGCCGACACAAAGCCAAGCAATGGCAAAAAGGGAGTCACTGGCCCGGGCTGGGGGTGGGTCTGCAAACGAGGTATGTAACGGCTATGTAACGAGGCCTGTAACGAGGCAAAGCAAAGCGCACTACGCAGAGCGCGCCTCCGCAGTTCCAGCTTGATTGCAGAAATTTTCAAGCCAAGCGGCGGCAGAAAGGGGGGACAGTGCGCAAAGCGCGCCTCCGCAGCTGCAACTTGATTGCAGCCATTCAACGCAAGCCAAGCGGCGGCACATAGGGGGGTCACTGGCCCGGAAAGCGCAGTACGCAAAGCGCGCCTCCGCAGCCCCAACTTGATTGCAGCTATTCAACGCAAGCCAAGCTGCGGCAAAGAGGGCAGTCACTGGCCCGGTTTGTTCATCTGAGGTGTGCAATGAGGGTGTGTAACGAGGGGTGTGTGACGAGCCAGCGGGTCTTGTTACAGAGGTCTGCAACGAGGTCTGTAACGAATGTCCGCCGCGGCTCTGTTACAGACCCCTCTATTTGTTTCCAACGGTCCCGTCTGGGTGGTGGTTGGTTGGTGTCCTTCTTGTTTCACACGCAGAGCCCAGCAAGGTGATTTGTATTCATGTCATCGAAACTCCGCTCAACAGCCCGCATTGAAATTTTGGCACCGACCCAGTCTAAACAATTCACACACCTTCATCCGCCACAATTCAGCGGGGCAAACTTGCATTCTATACTTTTGGTTTAGGTTCTGGGGTTGCTGTTCCTGTCCTGAAGGGGCTTCAGCGGGGTGGCCATCTCAGTTTGGTCGCAATCTCGAGTTGCGACTCTGCCAACTCGGGTTCCAATTGGCAAAGCCTACAGCATGCCTACCAACTAGGCAAACGCAAGACAAACTAAAACGCAACTTAGCACCCAAACAATGCCGCAAGCCTTGAAGCGGCTTTCAAGCGGTCTATGCCGTCAAATCATTGCAAGATGCGTAATGAATAAGAACTCCAGCTTGCGATGGACAAAACTGTGAGTATACCCATGTGCTTCCCCAATCTAGCCTGGCTAATGGCCAAGTGTTTCACGAAGCGGTTTACGACTTACAGCTAACACACAATATGCTGGCAGCAAGTGCATTCACCATGTTTGCAAGCCATGCCCTGGGGCTCCTGTGGCTGCGTTTTACGTGGTCGATAGGTTCGCCATTGTAAATCGTGGTCGAGGGGAATTGATTTTTTTCCGCCATCTCAGGGAGCGTTGAACGATTCATCGAGCCAGCTGCCTGCACCAGCGAGGCAGCTCGCACCGCCGCAGCAAGGACGCCAGATGTACCTGTCAGAGGGTTTTTGTATTAGACTCTGGGATTACACCCTTGGGAAATGACCCAGAATGGCTGCAAATAACACGGTTTTATCCGGAAATGTGCCTAAATGGGGTCAATACCCAGTGGGTGTATTCCCAGGGAGCAAAAAAGCAAAAAACAAACTTAGAACCTGGGCAACACTGAGGTCGTATAGTGACACTAACATCTCCCCATACATGCTGGCTCCCCTTAGTGGACTTCAGAAATCCTCCTTCTTCTCATCTCCCGCCATATTGCTCAAACAAACACTTCACAAGAAAAGGGTCAAGCTTTGTCAGTCTCAGTTCTTCCTGCAGCGAACCCTCCAAAAGGAATCAAATATGTATTTGAACCCGGCTGGCAAGCTGATCCTTTATTGGCTAGCCGAGCTCCCAGCTGACGGAAGCTTTTGCCAGCAAACTCTCCTGGCCAGACACGGGGCCTCCCTCCCAGACACTGGATCTCCATGTGTCTCAAGAAAAAGTCCGAAGGCTCCGAAAACAAATCCCGCAGCCCCTCCCCTCAGGAGTCTCACAAGGCACCTTGCTACTGATTGACCGCAGCCGGCGAGATTCTGCTCACTGAGCAACACAAGTAGAGCGCTTCAGCGTTGATGAATGCACACACATGCCATGCCACGCCAGTATTGCCTCGCGCTCACCCTCTAGTATCACTCTGACTCACTGGCTGAAACCCAAATCTTCATCACCTGTCTGGTCGCTGATCCGTTTTGGCATCATGCCCTGAACATGCACAGCATTTGGCAAAGCAGCGATCTGCAACATTGGCTGTATTGACAGTGGCCGCATGTGGGCGCAATTGTGGGTGGCGCAACAGCATGAAAGCCAAGATGAGGTATGACGCAGCCGGCCTGAATTCAATCCAGGGACCTTGTCAACGCGATCTCCGGCCTCCCCCTCCGACCAGAGCCGCCCCTGGGCGCTGCCTGAATGCAGCACCAGCACCGGGGTCCCGGACCCCGTCTGCCCAACGAAAGCTGGAGCTATCATAGAACAGTGTCTGGGGGCAAGGAGCTGAAGGCCACTTTCGGGACCCTTTGGGCCATCTGCCAAAAATATTAGGTGCTCCAGTCGAAAGGTTAGAATGAGGGTACCAACTTTTTTCTGTAGTCTATTTTAGTAGGGAACCCTCCCAACCAAAAAAGGGGTGAGAAAGGGCACTACTGGGGGGTGCAGTAGATTGATCGGCTTGCTTCCTCTAGCCGCCGCACATCATGCAGATGGAAGCTCGCAGTTCCTTGGCCGAGGCATCCGCACTGCACATCCTGAAATCGGACCTGGCCCCGCCGGCTGAAAGGAGCGACGCGGAGGTAGGGCCCTGTCCGTACTCTGCCCCTGATCAAAGGCTCATGTCGTAATCTTGTCATGTGTGGCTGCCAAAGGACTCCAGAAGTGCTTACAGGGAATGTAAACAATGAAAGGGTACCTGGAGCCTACTTCTGACTCAACAAGGTCAGTCTCAAGGTAGAAGGGAGCTTCAAAGTTTGTGAGCTAGACCGATTCTGTCGCCCAAGCCACAAACTTCGAGGCGTATGGATGGTTTGCAAAGACAAACAAAAAGACCCCCCCCCCCACACAAGGAAAACTAAGCACCACCACCACCCCCCTTGAGGTTGAGTGAAACAAGACAAAGCCCGACAATATGCCCATGCCCTAACCAGCACTGGACCACTCCAAACGAAAACAAATCAACCGGAAGAAGTTGTCTTATTGTCCACGCCATCTCTTTCATCCCAATGGGAGGGCAAAACGGCAAGACATGGCAAAACCCATGAATCCTTGACTCCACCTCCATCAACGAGATCAAGGCAAGCCCGGCCGGCGGTGGCATTCCCATCATCCATGAAGGAGGTGTCCTCCTGCCACGGCGAGCGCGGCCCTTGCCTCGCCCAAATGAAACCAGGCGCATGGCGCTGCCTAACGATGCCTTCATCATGAGATCATTCCCCCCCTCCCAACCCCCCAACCCCCCCCCCCCCACCCGCCTCGTTGAAGGGTACGACTCACTAGGGTACCCGTCCAAAAGCGAAGCAAGCAGGTAGCAAGCCGAGGACGGGGAACATGTGAACATCTCCTGCTTCACCAGGTGATCGTCTAAGCCATGCAGAGCTTACGTGCTGTTCTTGTCAAATATTTTCAAGAATCACCGCGCACCAAATCCGGGCAAACTACATCACAAAGTTGAAGCAAGGAGTGTTTCAGCTTCCCTCCAATTCGTGGTTTAGCTGGTTTGGTGGTTCAGTGCCGGGAAATCCCATGCACCCTCTAAGCCCGGGGTTCAAATCCAAATCCAAACCAACCCAAACCACAAATGCTAGTTTCCCATTTACCCTCTGCCAAAGCCAGGGCAAAGGAAATCTCCAAACCATCAACCTGATGGGTTACATGGCCATGGGTCGAAATCCGGTACCCCCAGTGAACACGCCAATCCCCACTAAAACAGGTTCTAAAATGGGTGGTGAATTCACCTACCCCAAAATGGGATCCATTTTTTTGACCAAACGGCCACATGAGTCTTCACGTTTAGGGCAACTTTCATGATGAGGGATTTGTGTATTAAACCCTGGGACTACACCCTTGGGAATGACCCAAACAACACGGTGTTATCCGGAAATGTGCCTAAATGGGGTAAATACCCAGTGGGTGTATTCCCAGGGTGTAATACAAAAACCCTTAGATTCATGGTGAGAGCCGGCACCTCCAGGCACAGGGCGCAATTGAAATGAAGATCTGCTACAGGCAGCTGGAGCAGATCCTGGCATGGGCATCGCTTTGTGGGTCTGTCGAAAAGACACAGGAAGGTAAACCGAAAGGAAACACTAGTTTTTTTTTGGTTGTTTTTTCTGTAGTCTATTTTAGTAGGGGAACCCTCCGCCAAAAAAAAGGTAAAAGGGCACTACTGGGGGACCTAGGTTATAAGAACATCCCGACTTTGAAACAAACCCGTGGTGTGACTCTGAGTGCTTGGACCCGTTACTTCGTGGGCATCATTTACCATGGGAAAAGAACACTGGGTCGAAGCAAACTGCCATCACTGCCCACTGGAGTGTGAGCTCTCATGTGGTGAAAGTGTGGATGTTTATCATGCTCACACAACCGCTGCCACCAGAATGCACGTGCTGCAGCTGTTCCATGCCTTTGAGACTCTGACGTGGCAAATCCCCCCCAAAAAAAAACCGAAGGCTTGCACAGGAAGAACCCCAATCAAATGAAACCGATGGAACCCGATGTTTCAAGCACCATGATACCACACAAGTCTACCCTGCACCAGCCGGCTCACCGGCTTCTCACACCCACAAGCACTGGCAAAGGCACATCTAGCGCAAAAGTTTGTAGACCGCAACGGCTGGTCGGTTTGGGGAAGCTTGTGTCGCGCCCTTACATTCTTTGAGTATCTTGAAACATGGCTCTGAAACAGGGGGGCTTGGCAAAGCGGCGAATCTTCGGATGTGCTTCCTTCCACAGCACGAGAAGCTCAAGCCACAAACTTCTCCCAGCTCAAATCAATACCCAGGCGCACCCGTTTCCGCCGCATGGGAAGGGTTTGCCGCCTCTGCCAAGCAAGTTTGACAAGGCAGCCGCTGGTATCCCAATGGCCTGTAGCTTGAATGGATGCTGACTTCACAAGGCAGTGAGCTCGCACGTGTGTCAGACTTCGGGTTCCCAATGATTGCCAAAACCAACTTGATTCACAAAGCATGTGCAAGAATTACAAGGTGTACTGAACAAGCTGCACGTTGCGACCTGGTCTTACAACAAGGACAGATTCGCGGGCGGCGCAAAACATGACTGGCAAGTGACTGTGCTCCTCGCATGTGGCTTGCAAAGCCTACATGGCGGCTGTCTGAAATTCCTTGTTCCGGAAACCGCCATCTTCGCGAGAACAAAACCTTCGCGGACCCCATCGCGGAACTTTCGTGGGGCTGTTTGCAGAACATTCATCACAAAAGTAGTAGACGAAGTACACTTTCGCAAGCCCACCTCGAAAGTCGCAGCTTGTCAATACGAAAGTAGTACAAAAAGTAAACTTCCGCAGCCCGGCTTGAATGTCGCAACTTTTCAATACGAAAGTAGTACACGAACTAAACTTCAGCAGCCTCGAAAGTCAAAACTGTTTAATACGAAAGTAGTACACCAAGTAAACTTCCGCAGCCCCAGCTCGAAAGTCGCGACCTTTCAGTTCCAAAGTAGCACGCGAAGCGCAACTTTCGCGGATCTTACTCCAAACATTCGCGAAAATCCGGCTGGAAGTTGCACTCAACTTGACCCGAAAGCTTCAAAAACTCCTACAAGCTGGTGTCTTCTGGCCGGGGGTTGCTTTCGCAGCGGCGTGTTCTGCGGCGACACTCAGGCTGCGCATGCCCCGACCCACTTTAGTCTGCAGGCATTCTGCGCGTGCACTGCCGGTAAATACACATGATTCATCACTCCAGCTTCGTGTTAGCAAGCCACCCTTACACAAAACTTTCGCGAATAAAACATTGACTTTCGCGACCCCCTTCGCGGAACTCTCGCGGAGGTCAACGCCACGACCAAAAGGTCTTCCCTTCATAGCTCAATTCAAGGACCTGTCGGACGACTCTCACATGTACAATCCCAGCACCATAGCTAGCCTACTAGGAGCGCGGGAGGCACCCTGTGCGTATCCTGCATGTTGTTCAATGCTAGCCATGCTGAAGTCAACAAGGGCGTGTCACCGTGCCCCTGTTCACGAGTTGTCCCACGCGAAATGTTACGCCTGTTCGAGAGGCTTAAGGCTGTCAAGGGCCAATCCTACCGCTGAGCACTCGGATAGGAATCCAGAGCTATATGGATGGCAAGCTGGTAGTGGCTATTCATCAAGGACCATTCAGGAACATAACCCTCCCATAGCTCGCCTGTTGTGGACAAACTCCTGCAGATGGATGGGTGAAACCCTATGAATAGTGGAAAAACACAACTATCAGCTCTAGAAAGCGGTTTGGATGCTTTATTGTGGACATCACCTGCTCTTCCCCCTGTTGGTCCTTGTTTAGTAATCTTTCAGTGCCCTTTTGAAATCCCACCGGGGTGGATCCACAGATTCGCCATATCCAAACCGTTTTTGTTTTAGATCAACTGGTGCTCAGTGGATGTTGTCCACATGGCCCTGGCAGTGAATCATTCTAGGGGTTCATTTCCCATTATTTTAAACCATCGTTCTTTTCAAAAACTAGCATCCCCAGAAAGAATGGGCAAACATGGGTGTGGGTCAAAATTGAACCACGTCCACTTACTGAGGTTCCACTTTGGGTACCTATTTGTTTCACCCACAGCCACACGACCCGAGTGAATCACCACACGGGCCCCGGGCAGGGACAAGGAGCCTTTCAGGCTCAAGGACTGCAGCAGCGCGGCCACGTTGGCGCTGCCCTGCCTGGCTAGGAAGCCATGGCTTGAGGAAGGAAGCGGTGCCAGAAGTGGCCAAGGGCCAAGACCATCATGAGAGAACCATAAAAAGGGGGTTGGGGGGGATGGAAGCCGGGATAGAAAGGGTTGACGATCTAAATCCTTGGTCGACTTTGATGATCTGAGAACTTGGTGCTGGTGCGTGCCAGGAAGAGGTTGGGTTGGTTTTTGGAGAGATCTTGCAGCGGACGATGGCGGTTTTGACAGCTCCAAGCCACCATGTAACCAAACACCTTGTACCGCATATATTGGCACAAACACCTTGTCTAAATTGAATAGTTGTGCTGGATCATGTGATGAGCCTAGGCACGAGCAGCAGCTACTGGAGAGAGCAAGCTGGTGCCCAGCGAGAATTAAAAATCGGGAAACCAACACCCACCCCTCTACTTGACAAGGTTCGGGGGACATGCATATTCGCATGATCACAATGAGGGATGCTAACCATGACCTTTTCTGCACCAGCATATTTGAGCAGCAAAGGTGGCAACTACTACACCCGCCGCATGCCGCAATCAGCGCGTGCGCCAAACATATCTCAGAAATGAAGGGCTGGACGGCACAAGGCTCTGACATCAAGGGATGCTCGTCCCTGAAGGTGAGGCGCAACCTCAGCCAAGCTTTTGTCAAAGCGCATGTGCTACGTGCAGCCGAGTTGGGTTTCAAGTGGGAGGCCAGGCCCTCGATGATGTACAGCTGGGCTTCATCCAAGCCTATATGTAGGAGCCCACAGCTGAGCTTCATCCAAGATGCTTCATGAGAGGTGGCCTCGAAATTTGCATTCATCTCAATTGGAGCATTGTTCGCATCGAGTGAAGGCCAAAAAACCTCCAAAAGAGGTCCAAGGCAAGCCCTCGCCAGAATAAAAAACACAATCACATGTAGCCAAAAACTAACTTCCATGTCAAAAGGTTGGCTGGCAGGGTTGGTGTTGAAGCATTTGGGTCAAAACGACCGCGTCTTGAATTGCCAGCCCGCAGAAGCTGCCTATGGAAATCATCTTCAATCTTGTGAAGGAATGAACGGCGTGCATCCCCAACTCGACTTTTGAACGCACTGGGGCCAAAAAGCAGCACGGCAACTTGGTGGCAACCTTCAGTATGCAGATTTGCTAAATGTTGGTAATGTGCGGCCTCATGCGCTAACAAACAGGCAAAGCGACTTGGCCAGGGATCCTTACATTATACACCTGAACATTGCCTTGTAAATGGTGGTCTCCCTTTATTTTCGTGGAAAAAGCCATGTCTCAAATGAGCAAAATGTATCTTTTAAGAAGCCCTGCTTGGCCGCTTTCCAAATACGCCTGCACCATCAGAACTGCCCCCCTTCTGCTCGTCCCCTAGGGCTCGCGGAAACATGGTCCAGGCCAGCGGCGTTTCAGGCAGCTCGCTGCCCTCATCAAGGCCTCAAAGATTTCCAAGGCCAGAAAAGATTTTCCAAAGGGGATTTACCCTAACCTTTTGTAAGCTCGGTGCAAAAATAATCCCCCCAGCTGAAACATCTACAGGCCTAAGATTGCACATTCTGGCTCTCTCTCTCTCTCTCTCTCTCTGTCTCTCCCTCTCCCTCTCCCTCTCCCTCTCTCTCTCTCTCTCTCTCTCTCTCTCTCTCTCTCTCTCTGTCTCTCCGTCTGCCCCGTACCTGAAACCTTCCCTGGGCTGCGTTGGACTTGACAAAATAATCCCCGAAAAAAAGGCATGCCCAAATATGTTCCCTTAATGTTTCTTTTGTGGTATGGCATGTGTTTTGAAACATACATGCATGTATGCTAACATGTATTTCGAAATAAGTAAAGTTAAGCAACTATCTAAGTTTGGAAACACGTTGTTTTCCCCTTCTCTTTCTCTCACTCTCTCTCTCTCTCTATTTCTCTCGTTCTCCTTCTCGTGCTCTCTGCCTCTCTGTTTCTCCGCCACTTCCTCTTCCTCTTCCTCTTCCTCTTCCTTCTTCTCTTTCTCTTTCTCTCTCCCTCTCTCTATCGGTCTCTCTGGCTTTCTCTCCCTCTCTCGCTCTTTCTGAATCTCTTTCTCTTTCTCGTTCTCTCTCTCTCTCTCCCTGTCTCTCCTGCCCACGAAAGTGAAAAACACAGAAACGGCGAGTTTGTTAGATCGAAGGTCTTCAAGGCCGTTGATGGCCGCGAAAGCTGAAACACATTCAACCCCCCCAAAAAACGAGTTGTTCAAGGTCGACCCCCCGAAGGCCGCAAAGGTTCGGGGGAGCGAATCAAATTCGCAATTTTTGAGGGGCGACCTGCGCAAGTGCAGGTAACCACTTTTGGAAGGTTACGAAACAGTGCGTGCGACCGTGCCAATGCCCCCTCCGACCAAGCCCGAAGTCGTCGTGACCAAGGGCCCAATTCAGGCACAAACGCATGCATTCGAGCAAGCCAGCTCAACTAGTTACTATCCAGTACGCAAGTTGTCGTTAAACTTGCTTTGATATGTCCGCCGTTGTGCATGGTCAGTGAGCTAGGTTCTAAAGCCATGCTTTCAAGACCCAACTCAAAGGGAATCCACATCCACCTGAGTGCCAGGCGCATCTCGCATCGCACATCCAAAGACCCTGGGTCCAGTTTGCCCTTGCCTCGGCGCAAGGAATCCACGGACATGCTGGCGAAAGACCATTCCATCATTCAGACCGCCTGAAATCACGAATACCAAAGAGTGGTGTTTTGGAACCGACCTGTTTTAGGGCTTGTTCACATTTGCCTGTTGGCTTCACTAGGTAAAAAGTTAGTCAAGTCGACCAAACAAAAGCGCTTGTCCTCAAGAATGGGCACCCTAAGGATCAGCTCCAACTTGGGCTGGGACTTGTGGCTGTCAGGCTTCTCGGCTCGCTTTGCATGCAGGATGCTGCGTGTTCGAGGCCACAAGTCTGGAAAAAGTTGACTGCCGCTTGCAAAAGAAGTGATATTTCTGGCTGAAGATTTGGTTGTCAATTGAAGGGCAATGTTGATGTCAAGCCCAAGGAAAGGAGTTCATCAGCATGTGAACATACATAAGTACTTGTTTTTCTCCTTGGTACATGCAGCGCTGGTAGGCGTCACCCAGAATCATGGGGTGTTCAGCCACCCCAACTTCCCAGTGCATTTGCAAGGGAAAAGCAACTCCGGCCTAAACCCTGGCAGCACGTCTTGCACCTTAAGACGAATAAGTGAGCCGGCAGAAGTCCACTTTGCATTGGGCTCAGTTCCGGGCACGCTGCTGCAAACAGGAGGTCCGTCAAGGATGGCGCGCCTTTGACCTGCCGAGCTGCAAATGTTTGTACTGGGCTGGTTAACAAATTGGGCTGGATGCATCCCAGAGCTATTCTTTGTCCATGGCGGTGATTGCAATTGGCACCCTCCATGGTCTGCCAAGCTTGGATTGGAAGAGTCGTCATATCTCATTCCGCTCGAATCTATGATGGCCCGATTGGGTAGGAAACAAATCTTTTCACAAAGGCCCCAACAACTCCTCAAAGCCAAGGCAAACTCAAAATGCAAATCAACAAAGCCAGGCTAAGGCAATTTCAAAACCTACTGGAGCTTACAAAGTCCCGCGGCCATGTGCCATTTATTGCAGCTCTTTCCGTGCTCTCGCCGCCCGGGTGATGGGCTTGTAGCATTGGACAAAATGCATCGTCTGCGCCGCATGCAATTTGTTTGTCAACAAGCCGTTGCCTCCGAGCAAGCAGTTTATGAGGATGTGCGCAACACATGTCGCTTATGATTGCTGCCCACAAAAGGACAGGCTTTGTTGTCAGGCCCATCCTTGAGATCACGGTCAGACACGGGCACAAACACAAACACAGGCAAGCGCGCACACACACACACACTATGAACAACGCACGTTGTGCTTGGATTGTGTCTTTGGCTTCTCGCGATTCCCTTTCTATGGAGGATCCAGTGAAGGGTCGGGCCTCTCAAAACGATTCAAAACTTCTGCGCATAAGGCGCTTTTGACTGCCAACTCCCAGACAAAAAAAAGCCCAGAGCTGACGCCGAACCCCAGGACCTCAGGATTCTTCCGGATGATACCAGACGCGACCATAGAGCGATCTTGGCAGCCCTGCCTTGTCCAAGCCTCAATCAAGTGGATAAGCAGGATTCGCAATGGAGCGAATCAAGATCTCAACTAAAATTCGGCATAAACCCTGCTAGTACGAACCAAACCTGGCTTGGGCAAATGGGATGTGAGGTTCCAATCCTCCACAAAAACCGGTAACCCCCAAGTTTCGTTTGGCAGGCATTGCCCCAACATGTTCCTCTCAGCTTTGCCTCAACGTGTTTTTGACAACCATCCCTGATACCAGTAAGCAAGGGGTTTGCCGCCCATGCTATTGTTGCTTCAATAGTTTGTGCTTCAATTCAACTGCTGGAGTTTGCCCTCCCAATGTCATGTCTCCATATGATAGTTCGCCCAAGCATGTTACCAGGATTGAACAAAGAACCACATGAATGCGCACAGCCTGTGATGTGGCAGGCCCCCCAACGCCTGAGATGAAGACCCTGCTGACTTTGGGTTTCAGCTATTGACTGGCTTGCTGACCATGCAGGGGAGGTTCAAAAAGCAGAGCGCGTCACCAAAGCACGGGAAATCCGCGTGGCCAGGCCATGCGAGCTCAGGCCCAGGCACGCTGACTCTCCCAGACCTTGCAAGCGAGGCCAAGAGCCACTCAAAGGTCCAACGGGCGAAGGCGAAGGGGATGCCTGAATCATAGCTGGCAGAAGCTGTGAACCATGTGCTGCTTGTAAACGTTGGTTGTTCATCTTGAGCACTGTTGGGGGAGCCCTGTCAGGGCGTAATTTGATTTTACAGGAAGGCTAACACTGCAGCGGAAACAGTGTACTAAGTTTGCTCAGTGTGAAAAGTTGCGAGTAGTGTATTGCGAGGTTATTGCGATAATTCGAGCAACAGAGCAAATTGCAGAGACTTGCGCTGCCCACATGATCATTTGAGCACTCAGGGAGTCGCTCTAGAGAAGTCCTCAAAAGTCAGGCATTCAAAAGTCAGGCCTAGGGTCAGGCCTAGGGGGCAAACTCCCAGCAGCCCTAACAGGGATCCTTACGTTATACACCTGAACATTGCCTTGTAAATGGTGGTGTCCCTTTATTTTGGTGTTGAAAAAGCCATGTTTCAAATGGTTGCAAAATGGTGATCTTTTAAGGAGCCCTGCCTAACCCATGCCAGTTTCTTGGCAGACCAGGCACCTGGTGCCTGGTGTGAACCTTCGCTCTTGGCTGCCCGGCCAACTTCCACGCTGGCGCCTGGGCAATGATCAGCGCTCAGCAAGGGCGACGCGACGCGCCCTTGTGCAAAGGACACACCCAAACTTCCATTTGTGTGTTTGCCCCCTGTAAAATTCAATATATTACACTAGTAAAACCAGAGGAAAGACAATCTTAAACAAATGTTACTTGTACGTGCAAAAATCGTTCGGAAATCAGCAAGCAACACTAATGGGATATCACGTTTATTGAAACATGCGAACGTGCTGATGTTGAATCGCAGTGGCTAACATTTTTGCTGGCTGCTGGCACGTTTGCAGGGCGGTACGTTAGTTGTTGGTGCTTGGGGAGGCAGGCTGTCGGCAGTAGCTGGCTGATAATAGCTGTGGTGACCATACAATCAGAAGTGGTAAGTAAGCATTGTGACGAGCCGTGTGGCTTTTGGCATCACTCCTTGTTTTTCCACAGCCGCCAGCGATTTACTCGTCGAATGACATTTGCGGGAGTACGGCTGTTAGTTTCTTGTTTTGTGCGGCTACTGATGATTGCCCAATTACTAGACAGCAATAAAGTCCTCCAATGGCTATGTGGGCAGCGTGCCGTGTATGCAACCACCTTGGAAGGAACTTGGATGATTTGTTTCAACACAGACCTTGCCAGGTCTCCAGTGTGGCCCTGCAAGCTTTCACCCCTCACAGCCACATCCCGCCCTTGGCGACGCGCTTTGGGGGTAAAACGAGCGAAGCCGCGCCTCCCTGCAGACCACGGCTCGCAGCCTCCAGCACCTGCGTGCGAGTGTGGAGCCCAAACGACCCGGAAATCAAAGGTTAGCCTTTTGAGACCTTGACTAACCATGGACCAAATCAGGGAAACAAAAGGTCAAAAGGTCGATTCGCTTTGGGCAACTGAGCATAGCCTCTTACTCTCGTGATTCACCGCTTTGTGGGTACAATCTCAGGGAACCAACACAACCAACACAAGCAACGCACAATCACACAACAGCGATGTCCAAAACAACCGCCACAACCACAATCCGGACCTTTTGCCCCTTCGGAACAAGTTTGGCAAACCGAGAAACCAGCACTTTGGATTTTGGACAGGGGTGAACATTTTTCCAACCAGGTAAAACAAACAAATGCACAATCTGAAAAGCGGGGGGCGTAGAGATGCGCCGTTCGATCGCCCCATGGATGGACCTGATTTTGGCAGATGTTGCCTACGCCTGCCTGGTGAATCCTGGTGTTGTGTCAAAGCCTTTGAGGGGTCAAGTTGAAAAAGGGCAAAGGACGGTGACTGTCTAAACATGGTTCATCAAGAAATCATATCTTACATGTCGAGACAACTGCACATATAGAACTTCAGAACCCGGGCGTGTTCGGAAGTGTGATGAAACAACGGGATTTGCGAGCAAACTTGGGGATTACCCTCCCTGCCACTACCACAGAGTACCTGAAAGATAAATTTTCTCTTGAAGGGATCCTCTGAGAGGTGCCGTGTTGGTGGAAGAAATGGTATCCCTCAAGGAATTTCATCTGCCCAGGCTTGCTGAGTCTGTCCGACCACAATCTGGGTGTGTCCTTTGTTTAGGGCCCCCCCCCAAATTGGTGGGTTTCATATTGGGTTCCCTTCAAAACCACTGAAAAAGGGGTACCCTCAAAAAAGACTCCCTGATCTATTGGCTGGCGTGATTTGTTTCAACATCAACGAACGCCTCTGGCAGGAAGGCAGTTCAGAACACGCGAGCCAGTGAATTCCCTTGTCCACCGTACCTGTCCAATGGAAGTGGACGTTTAGGGGCTTCCCCAAAATGTCAGCTTCCACGAATCAAAGGGTTGGAACGGCTGGGAAAGTCAAAGTTCAAAGATCCCAACCACATAGCCACCGAGGTTCTGCTGGCTCACTCGACAGCACCGCTACGCAAAAGCGTCCCGTCCGGAGGCTCCAGTTTCCCGAGCCCCGCTGACCGGAGGCCGGAGGCCGGGAAGGCGCTCGTTGAGCACAGGAAGCGTTGAGTGATGGCCTGTGTCACTGAGTTATTTCATGCTTATTTCTTGGCCCGGGGGTTTTGATGGGAGGGGGGGGGGTAAATGGAGACCGTGAACAGAGACATGCGAAGACTATGACCTGTCTGCGTATTGCATCTCACGAACTGCGCAGCTCACATCCGGTAGACCGCCTGGCAGGCGGAAATCACGGTACAGTGCTACTGCAGATCATGAGCTACCTGTTTGCCATGAAAATGATGCCAGTCAGTGAGAAACCGCCCAGCCGGACTCCCGAACATCAGCTCAAACAACCCATGGTGCGAGACTTTTATGTGCAGCATTGCCTGGCAACCTTTTGTGAGGTACATTCTATCTGAGAGGTCTCCAGTGGCTCTGGGTCGCATATCTTTCCACATGTCCCTCTCTCACAATGCGGCTTCATTTGAAATGGTCCCAGAGTTCTTCTTTGGATAGCTCAAGACAAAGGAACAAGGAAAGCATCCTGAGATCCGGTTTCCGCGGGGGACTCGGCTTGGCAGCACCATTTTTCAGCTTCGTAATGGCCCGGAGTGGTTCTCGAAACGCAAGACACACCAAAAAGGCTTTACAGTCAACCACCCAAAAAGGCCGTGTTTGGGGGGGTCCATCAAGACCAACAAAGCAGACCTAACTCAGATTCACCTCAGGTTCCAAACACTTTGGCTCCATTGAAAGCACAAAACCACAAACACACACACACACACACACACACACACACACACACACACACACACACACACACACACACACACACGCACACACCTACTTCAGATCCACCCGCAAGTCCCTTGCGGAGCTCGACCCTGCGATCTCCTTGATCGCGGGGCTGCGCTTGAAGGCGCTCCGGAAGAGCCGCGCGGCGCCGTCGCAGTCGCCATTCTCCGCCAAGAGCTGGGCATCCTAGGCTGGGGGGGAATGGTGTGGTACCAAGGCGAGAGGTATCGCTACAAAAGTTGCGCAGTTGGGTCAGAATCAAAACCGATCGGTATTGAAATGGTCTACCCAGTACCATGCAAAGGAATTCAACAGGCGGCAAAGGCACCCATCTATTGTGGGACTATCCGATTATCCCTGACTAGCTTCACCTACCCGGGTTTGATTGTGGCGCAGTTGCCCGCACCCAGACATACAAAGTCAACATTGTTGGAGCCACTAAACTTGGACCAACATTGGGAAACTGAAAGGTCAACATGCCGGCTACAACACCCAGAAAGGAGTTTCATTTCATGTAAGGACTCCTAGTACTCCAATGGGCATACCCACAATATCTACAGAAGGGTACAGTTCAGGTGTGCAAGCAGGACCTTATATAGACATTGAATGCAGCCACCACAAAAAGTCAAACAAATAGCGAGCTAGTTAAGACAAACCAACGACTTGCTGCGGGTTCACCCGCAAAGTTGTAGGTCACAAGGAACTCACGATAGCAAATTGCGGAACAAGGGTCGGTTGCTGCAAAGGGATTATTGGTCCCTTTGTGCTCAAGTATGTTGGGAACCAACTGCGTGAACGGGGTGAGCCGACATGGAAACTTAGGTCAAAACCGATTTTGGATCCGCGAGGCTTGTTGGGCTTTATATGGCTTGTCAGAGCAGTTGAAGTTGCGACCGGTCGGGACCAAAAAAAAAGCAACCTTCCATTGTCACAAGTTCCAGGCAAGAAGTGGCAGACTCCGGGCATAGAACTGACAGGCGGTGGTGTTCCTTTTGGTTTCCCATTCAAACCGCAAACATAGGGTGCCCTCAAAACAAAGACACACTGAAAAAGAAGAGGATGAGGATGACGAAGCTCGGGGCAAACCAAGTTCCCAAGAAACACTCACATCTGGCTGTGTCTCAAAAAACCGGAATTCCAAAATGGGGCAAGCCCTGGTAAGTGGAAACATGGGTACCAAAACCTGCGGCTTGCCCCTCCGATCGTTGAAGTTTGAGCCGCCGCCTCCAAACCACCTGGGCCATTTCAGCGCGAACGAACTCGCCTGGTACATCTGGAAGGCCTCCAGATCCTCCGGCGCCGTGCAGACCGCCGGTGCGCGTCCTCGTTGGAGACGGGCAAATGCCAAGTCTCGAGGCATCCCTGCTATCCATGCCTTCTGTGATACAACAGAAAGGGCCTAACCCCAAAGACTCCTTTGTTCTAAAGGAGGATTCCCTTGTATCACAGAAGTGGGGAGAAACCCCTCGATCCCACAACCCTGCTGCCATCCCTCTCCGGGCCCCCGACACAGTAATACGATGGCAATTGCTTGGCAACAACATGAGTTCCATTTCTAGATTCTAGATTCAGGTGCTCAGTTTCAATACAGCTGGGGAATAACAAACGCAAAAAAAATGCTTGTCCTATCGGCCAAGCTGGCACCCAAAACGACAAGGACCTATGAGAACTCGTCATTTCGCAAATCTAAACTGCGCGCCCATGGGGTGTCTACAACCTGGCAACCCCAGGTACCGAATTCAAAGTTGAAGAATCATGAAGCTCAAAAGGCCGTCTTCCCTCCCTGCGAAGCTTCAAGATCCTTTTTGCTGGGGCCAACATTCAAATTCCTAGGATTAGAATAAGGGTGCCAACTTTGTTCTGTAGACTATAGTAGGGGGGTTCCCTCCCAACCAAAAAAGGGGTGAGACACTAGTCCCCCCTTCCGAATGGCCAAGCGCAAGCGTTGCAACCAGGTGGCTGTAAAGCACATCCGTGCGGATGATGTACTTCTCAGCTGCGGGCACCCCTTCGTGCATTAGCCTGTGGTAGAAAACCTTGGCGATCAGTCTGCGACCATGCACTGCGTTAACACCATTTGGCCATGGGTCAAAAGCCCATACCCCCAGTGAACATCCCACTCCCCACTAAAATAGGTTCCAAAATGGGTGGTGAATTCACCTATCCCCCAAAATGGGACCATTGGTTTGACAACCACAGACATTTCTCAGCAAAGGCCAAGAAAGAACGACCCATGGAGCTCTTCCAGTATGCTCCCGGGGAGTCCTGGAAGACGGTTTTCCTTAAGGGACCGGGCCCCGAACGTCCGCCATGTGAAAAGGGTGGCTTGGTGCCAACTTCGAGCAACTTGCTTGGGTGCTGTAGATCCACCAGCAAAAAGTGAATCACTTTTTGCTGGTTAAAAGGAAACATGAAAGAAATCCAAAAAGTTAAAGCCTAAAGATCCAACCCAATAGCGGTAGAGCTTAAGGCAAACTCCCTCAGCCGGGAAGCCAACATTCGCCCCGGCTTCGGCTCCACTTCCGCCAACACAAGGCTCGCATCGCCTGGCTGGAAGTGCTCCGATGAACAAAAAAAACGCTGACTCTCAGCTCGCTTTCCGAACACTCCGACCCTGAGCTGTGAACGATTGCGGAGTTGGGGGGGGGCTGGGATTTTATCACCAACTTGAACATCTCCTCTGCTTGTGGTGGTCCAATCCATTCCTTTCTTTCAAAGGTGCACACTGCAGCAATAAGCCAGGATGGGTCCCGTCTAGAGGCAACGAGGCACAAACGACACATTGCCTGCAGCAAATCGGGTGTCCAACAGTTAGGGAACCCCACCTTTTGGAATATAATTTCAAAGAAACCAAAAGGAAACCACCTATTCGGGGAGGGGGGTCAACTCCATGCTGCACTATGTGAACATGGCGTTCATGGGGGCCCTTGTTCTTTGAAAACCAAATCGCCAATAAATGAATTTAGATATAGCTGCGTGCCATATGCACATACACGAATCCAAGAGTTTTCCCCATCAATTACCATCAAGATCCACACTGCTTTCTGCCACAGCCTGTAAGTCTTCCCTCTTCATCTTTTTGCAGCTCTTTCCGCATCTGCTCATCTGCATAAAGCCGAGTGTGGCCACCTGAGTGAATCACTCACTTGAACATCGACGGCTTCAGCGGCTTCAAGCCCTGGAAAGAGCATTGCTGACAAAGCAAAAAGATGCAGAAAGCAGAAATCACATGATGTTGCCCTCTGGGAGAGAAAACCAGCTTTGATTCATTTCTACGGGTGTTTCAACTGCTTCTCACACCAGGCCCAGCGTATGTGGTCGAATCCCCAGAGTGCCTCAGAGTGCCGGCAGGCTTCTTCTCAAAGGCCCACTTGGTTGACGTTGGAATTTTAGCAGACAAGTGGGGATTTCCACCACTAAACCACAATAAACAAATATGCAAAATGTTTCCCAACAACAACCATGAGAAAGTCTTTCATGGCAAACCGATCTATGATGCGCTCCCGGAGCACCGAATATGGTTGTGCTAGCCTATCTTTTCTGGCGGAATGTGCACACTAAACATGCAAGAGGCGGTAAGAAAGCGCCGGACCTCAATCTCAACGTCACATTTCCTACCCAAAGGCATGCTTGATCGTTCCTGATGGCGAATTGGCCAGAAAAGTCAAAAGGTTAAGAGCTCACTTGACAGCAACGGGTGGATGTCAACAGGAAGCCATGCACTACCCGCTCCCAACGTTCGGTGCACTACCACTGTGTCCCTTCACATGATTTCATGTTGAGACCAACAAGTCCCATGGCCCAAATGATTCTCTGCTGCTGGCATGACCCCAAGCAGAAGCGTTCAGGAACAGCACGCACGAGTAGAAAGTCCGCTCGTTGAAGTCTATCACAGTTGTCCCATCCTCAGCCGAAGAAGCAACATTCTGCCACGCACGTGCATGGAAGCTGTGTACTGAACAGCCGAACATGCAAGCCCACCATGCAAGCCCATCAGTGACGTTGCTGCACATCCCGAGCAAGCACACGGCGCCAGAAAGCCCGAATAAACTGTGTGGTCACAAAAAATGCTCTAGTCACCTGTCAGGGAGCTCACTTTCTCAGTATGACCTGCTATGAGCATCCCCCTGGCCATATTTGCAACACGCTATCGACCAGCTAGCGCATCCCTCAACACACATCATCGTCAGGCTGCACGCACCTACCCAGTTCATTCAAACTTATGCAGTTTAAAGCTTGTTTCAAGATGGGTTGGATAACGGCTTTGGAGACTCCCACTCATTCAGGTTTAGTTTTCCGACCTTTGGACACCGGTGGTTTTCTGAACTTTGCGTGTGTTCCGAGCATCCGTGTGAGGGCTAAAGTGGCCACCCTCCAGGTACCGCGACAGCAGCAGCTTGGGATTCATGCCGCACGGACGCCACGTGCCTTCGATGTCCACCTCGAAGCGATCGTCATCTTCAGAAAGGCTCACCTGGCCCAAGGCTGCCGGCCATGCTCCGACCTTCTAGGGGTCAGTTCCAACCATTCTTTTCAACCATCGTCCTTTTCAAGAACCGGATAACGCTTCCCCTGCGTTTTTGCTGGTTTCCTGCAAGATTCGGATCCCTGGAAAGAATGGGAAAGGTACCCTCCCAGAAACCTGGGTCCCTCTGGACCTGGTTTCCGGCCTGGCCTCCGCCCAGGTGATAAGCTACAAGCATGTGTGCTGGCAGATCAGGGCATGTCGGGGCGGAGGTAATAAATGTGTTTCATGATGTGAATAGGTGTTCTGCAGGCATTTCGAGCCAGGAGTCCTTGCCCGGATCCAGGCACATGTTGGCCCCTTGGATGGCTGAGTTCTGAAGTCGCCAAGTGGTGCGTCAATGGTCATGTTTTTTTGGCTCACATTCGCTCAATCCTATGACTCAATCTTCCTGTAATGGCCTGTTCGCCCCCCTTCCGTAATCGCTTCAAACATCGTAGCTATGCCACCTTAATGCACAACAACGGCTATACATATATGCATGCATATCTCTATATACAAATATATGCTTTCATCCATATACACACACATAAATAAATATATATATATATATAGATACACACATGCATATTATATGTATTGTGTGTGTGTGTGCGTGCGTGTGACATGGATTCCCATGCCTCCGGCTGCACCCAGCCGGCCACCCGGCGCCAAATGCGCTGCGCCAAGCTGCTGTGGGTCACCTCAAAACCGAGGCGAGTGGATCGGTCGATAGCAAAACCAAATCCCTCAGACAAACAGCCGCAAGCTCGCAGCTGCCCTAGGAACCCCAAGGAACCCCTGGGAACCCCAAGGAACGCCAAGGAACTTTCACGGAAGCCCCAGGAACTTCGAGGAAGCCCAGGAACCCCAACAAACCCCCAGCGATCCCTGTAAATGGAACCAAGTCTTCCAAACAGGTCCCTTTGGAGCTTCCATGTTCGCCTGGGGGGGGGGTAGTCTGATTGGTGGCTCGGATTGGTGGCTCGGATTGGTGGTTTAGTGAGTTGGTGGTTGAAGGCTAAGGGGTGGCTTCCCATTATCCTCTACAAAAGCTAGGCGTTCGAATCCCTACACAAATCCAAAGCACAAACTGAGCGTTGCCTGAAAGTTACCTGATTAGCCCCCCTACCTTAAGGGGGACGGGGGTGGGGGGTCCCACAACTCCATTTATTCAGTCTTCCCCTCAAAAGGGAAAATGGAACCCTAACTGGAATTCCAGGGGTCACCCCCCTCCCCAATTCCATTTTGGAAGGGGGTGGGGATACCTGATTGTTAACCATTGTTGGTATCTAGTGTTCTTGCCAAAATCCTACATGCTCCCTGCACTCAGCACAATCCATACCCGCCATCTGTGATTTCTGGTGGCATTCCAACCTAACCGGGCGCTGCGAAAAAAGGTGTGGGAAGCTCTCGCCCAAAAAACTGAAATTCGGATGCCATGTCGTCCTTTCAGGAACAGCACACGCACCCACAAACACACACACAGACACACAGACACACAGACACAGACACAGACACAGACACAGACACACACACACACACACACACACACACACACACACACACACACACACACACACACACACACACACACACACACACACACACACACACACACACACACACACACACACACACACACACACACACACACACACACACACATCAACCGTGCTACATGCGGAAACCAACTGGCCTCCACCGTGTGCGCATTGCGGAAGGTGATGCGCGGCCGAGCGGGGTCATCTTCCTCAATCGGTTGGAATTCCCCAGGCGCTGGCGCAGTGCCAAACATCACGCTAAGTCTGAGCACCAGTCAGAGTTCACGGATGCTTGTACAAGGCTGTGAGGGGTCCAGTTTAGCTCTGCGTTGCATGTGGACGAAATGGGCATTCCCAGGAAGATTGCTTTCTTTGGAATCGGGCCTTCAAAGCCGTCGAACCAAGACATGTTCTGCTGCACGCTGCGCTTCAATCGCGGGTGTGTAAGCAAGCGCGGGTACTTCCACCTGACTGTTTGTTTACTTCGCTGTATCACGTGTGTCCCGACTGCTCAAGAATTCGTACATATCTTTGGTTTTGGTCTGACATGTCTTTGGTTTAACCAGCTGGAACTATATAAGAGTTCCCTTTGCACACAACCTTCAACATGGTTCCGCACGTCTCACTCCCGACCTTGATGATGCTCGCACATATGCTCACTTAAACCATCATTGATCTAAACAACATATCTAAATCAACACAAATATATACATATATATATATATACACCACATATATCACATAATTAAATCATTTGTCACATATATCACATGTATCACATATATCACATATATCACATATATCAAATATATCACAAATATCACATATATCATATATCACATGTCATATAGATTTATGAATATCCAGATTGCCATACATATATGCGCGCTCAATATCGCTCAAATATACTCCTGTATGTGGCCTGCGCAGGTGCAGAGCTCTGCCTTTCTTAAAACCCTAAGGGCTTGAGCAACCCAACTGGTCGCGATGAGGCCTACCAAGTCGTGCCAAGCAGCCCAGAAGCTCCAGAGCCCCTCTGCTTGGCAGATGAGACTGCGACACTCCTCCTCCGTGAGCACGTCATCCAGCACGAACGCGTCACAGCCTTGCCACACACTCGTCAACCGATGGCCGTTCAACCAACAGCCTAGGAATGACAACATGCGTGTTTAAAGCCAACAACAACGAACAGCTGACAGCCAACAGCCAACAACCAACCAGGATCAAAGAAGCTCCCCCGCGAATCAACGGAAAGCTTCAGCCCTTGCCTGGGATGTCCCAGCGCTTCACAGAGACCTCTGCCTCCTCCGGCAGCGGAAACTTCTCTGGAGACACCTCGGCCTGCCAAGGCTTGCTGTGAAACCCGCCAGCAACGGCTTTGCTGGGAGTGAGAAGAACCACCCCATCTAGGTCCTCCAGTAGAGAGGTTACAATAAGGGTACCCTCTTTTATCAGTTTTGTCTATTTTAGTAGGGAAACCTTTCCCGCAAAAAAGGGTAAAAGGGCACTATTGGGGGGCCCAGCCATTGTTCTGGGAAACCTCTGGACAGCAAGGTCAGCATTTCTTTCATCAAGTCCGAAGGTTTCCTCTTTCTGAAGCAGCCCGCAGCTGGCGCTCTGCAACGCAGATTCTGAACCTCAATGGCTGCGTGTGCCCTCTATTGTTATCACTTCTGCTTCAATGCCATCATGCAATACTGTAAGATACTACAGCGCGGATCTGACAGCCAGCCTTGTCAACGACGTTGGAGATGGGCCGGCTGCTCTTCAGCGGGGCCTCAACCTCCAAAATCTCCTGCGCAGAATGTCCAAGGGCTAAGCAGCTGGGCATCGAACCATACTGAGCAACAATCAGTTGGCACACCCACGAATAGTTACAGTCATCACACAATCGGACATATCCATGCTATGCATATCCCGGACGTTCCATGCGATGACCAATTGTTACTCACTATAGTTCGCAGGCCTGATCAAAAAGCAGCTGTGGTAGAAGGACTAAGCCTGAAACAGTCCAAATCTCCTGACCCACAGCTACGTTGCACAGCTGCCACCGCTGAATGACAGTCTCTAAAGGTAACATCCTCATACCGCCTCAGTCTGCTCACGGTGACTGAGCATTTCGCAGCACAAGTGATGAGGGACGGGTCTGTAGAAATTCCTCGACCATCCGGCCCCTTGTGGCTTCCTGTCTTACTTTCCGGGAACTTTGTGTTCACCACAAAAATGGTCATACCAAAAATCATAAATTCCATTAACTCAAGAAGTACAACATCAAGGAACTCAGGAAGTGAGCTGCTGAATAGATCAAAACCAATAAATCAGTTGGCACCCAGCCAACGCTGTGAGACCTGCCCGGGCCCACCTCGGCCGCATCTGCAGGCAACTTGAAAGCCGCCGACCTGCAGATTGCAGATACGCCAGGGCTTGAACAAGCAGCGGGCAGCGAGATTCCAAAAATAGGAATATCCTTTGAGAACACTGGGCTGCCCTCAGATCCCCCGCTAAAAGTTTAACTTTTTGTGGGTTAAATGGAAAATACCACTAAAGACTAAAAGAAGGGGATGGCTGGAAGCCACCAAGAACATATTGGTGTTTATTTTGCAATTGTCTCCCTCCAGCAAACACTCATTCCCTGCAAGGAGAGGGCCGCAGGTCAAGCGGAATGAACGCCATCCCAACTGCCAAGCCATCCAGCCAAAGCCATCCAAAACCATTGGCCAACAGTTCGGTCTGAGTTCTATCCAAGCTCAGGATGTCCGACCCCGCTCAGGTCCACGAACCAGGTATATTGAATCACATCGAGACCCGCCCGTCTCGGGGGCTCTAGGTGGCCCCCCCTCTTTCCAACCAAGGGACATGTCCCATGTCGTGATCGGGATGTCGTTTTTCGAGGGCGCCCGTTTTGTGGGGCTGAGAAAGGGGCACCCACCGGCAACCCACCGCTTCCGGGTGTCCGCATTTTTGCCAAAACGAGCCACAAGCCATGGGAGCCATTGGTCTGGTCCAAACTAGGTACCCAAAATGGCTTGCCCTGGCAAAGAGAACCCAGGACCTGCAAAACCGAGTCCTGGTGGTTTTAATTTTGACCCACAGCCAGTTGCCTCGGCTCCGGAAGGAGCTCCACCTTGACCTCCACCTCGCCGTCCGCGGCGCCCTGCAGCAGGCCCCACCTGAGCTAGCGGGTTTCCTGGTAGCTGCGCGTTCGCCCAGAGGTCCTCCAGTAGAGAGGGTAGAATAAGGGTACCAACTTTTTTTCAGTAGCCTATTTTAGCTGTATTCTAGTAGTACCATTTTGTTTTAAGTCTATTTTAGCGTTATTTTAGTAGGGGAACACCTCCCAACCAAAACAAGGGCGAGAAAGGGTTGTAGCATTGACTGTTTTCGTAAACTCTGGTGAGCCTACAATTAGCTCATGAGAGGTTACAATAAGGGTACCGTCTTTTTAGTAGGCTGCTTTAAGAGGGGAACCCTCCCAACTAACCAAAAAGGGTGAGAAAGGGCACTGCTGGGGGACCTAGACAATGGGAGTGTTGAGATCTTGAAAGTAGAGGATCCATTCTTGTAACCTGAATAACAGGATACGACAGGATCTACAAGATTGTGAACCTAGAAAGGTTAACACCAAACAAGGACATGTCGGCACAAAAGCTACAAGTTTGACTTGTTTCATCTCACCAAAGAAACTCTGTAAGACCAAACATCCAAACTGGGCCACTCACACCACCTCAAAAACAAAAATGTATAAGCATAATGCTGCTCATGGCGGCAATGTCATTCTCTTGCACAAAACGCCCTGCGGCTGCTTTTATCTTGGCCAAGAGTCCAATCTGGTGAGCTGATGACTCTGAGTACTCAACATGCGGATTAGTCAAATAGGGCTTCCTCCTTACTGGATCCCTTGCATGCTAGGTTTAGGGCCCTCTAGCTCAACGAAGGGTCTCAACCGGGGCCGGTTGACTCACATGGCCATGGGTCAAAATCCCGTACCCCCAGTGAACATCCCAATCCCCACTAAAACCGGTTCTAAAATGGGTGGCGCACCAGTGCACCTACCCCAAAACTGGTACCACTGGTTTTGACCCACAGCCACATGCCAGCTGCAAATCGCTCGGACCGGATCCATGCGAAGTCAGCGCACTCGCCGATCGCAGGGGCGCTTCTCAGATCCCCCGCCTCGGGCCCTGCAAATGCCGCTGGCTTAGCCATGGACTTCTGGAATGAGAGATGGCCACTCCAGGCCTTTCACTCCGACCGAGAAAAGTGGCGTCCCAAGGATTTTTTTTCCCCAGTGCCAGGAACATCGCAGCGATTGGAGTTCTCCACTTCTCCCAATGGCCTTCCTTCCCATTCGTCATGGCCTGAACTGATCAGACCTCGGAAAAAGGAAGCTATGCAGTACGCGTGCATTCTCCGAGCTGCTCCTCAGCAGCCTGCAAAAAATCGAAGCACATGGACACCGGGATGTCTTGCAACGGAGTCGGGAGCCTATAGGCTGCGACAAATCTGGGCTGCCCGTTTTCTGATCCCCCGCTCAAAGTGACTAACTTTTAGTGGGTTAAATGGTGTAAAAAAAGACACTAAAAGGCTCAAAAGCTAGGGGGATGGCTGGGAGCCACCAAGAAGCCCATTCACTTTAAAGGCATCCCTGGTGGCCAAAGAGTTGAAGGCTCACTCGAAGTCGCACTCCTCGGTGATCATGGTCGGCCGGACCATGCGCCGGCCAATGCGGGAGATCCACATCTCCTTCTCCTGACGGAAGCGGGTGGCACCAGGCTGACGGGCAGTGGACATCACCAAAAATGCGGGTGTGGGTCCAAACTATGGTAACCCCAAAATGGCTTGCCCTGGTAAATGGAAACATGGGCTAAACCTGTGGTCCCATGCTAGCTGGTTTAATTTTGACCCATACCCATGCAAAACACACAAGCCGATTGCGTCCAGTTTGAGCTTGCGTCCAGCTTAGACCAAAGCTGAATACTTTGGAGTCAGACTATGGGGCTCTACAAGGAACCACTTCCCTATGGCAGCATGAAGCCTCTGTGCTTATCACATGGGATTGTGCCTGAATCTCTTCAAGCCCCGGCAACTAAAACATCTCGACGCTCGACCCTCTCCTCCTGCTTCGCAGCGATCAGCAGAAATGCCCTGTCTGGAGTTCGCACGCAAAAGGAGTTGTCCTGAAGCCAGCACAGCCAACTCAGGTCACCGCCCGCAACTGCGATTTACGATGCAGGGACTGTTGCCAATGATCGCTGCTTGCAGCTGCATGTTCGCAGCGTATGGGTGTATCCGTTCAAGCTGAAGGCAAACCCTGGAACTAGTGGCGCCGATTTGGGGAAACAACAGGTGCAGGCTTGGATTTCCAATTTGTATACCCTAAAGGCACTGAACTCTGTGAGGAGGCTCGCTATGAAACCTGGCGGCAAAATGTTTGGAACGAACGCAAAGCAATGCAGAAAGTTGGGTCTTCCCACAACCCGGCTCTAGAGACTCATGGCATGAGTGGAGAGGTTGAGTTTGAATAAGTGAACATGTCGCCAACCAGATAAACATCTCATCCAGTGGTGACCAGTCCTTGCCGGTGCGATCATCGGCGCTTTGTACTGTAGAGCACTCGGCCATGCGGATGAACTCTGTGGGATTCCTGCGGTGATCCATGGGAAATCTGGCCGCAAATGGTACGGCCGCCGATCTGTTGAATTGACCTTCGAGCCTGGTCATGGAGGGGTTGAATAAGGAAACAGACAAAGAAACAAACAAACAGAGAGGTCGGCAGGCAGACAAACAGACTGACAAACGTAAACAGACACGTACAAACAGAGACAGATAGGGACAGAGACAGAGGGGCAGCGAGACGCAGAAAACAAAATACCAACACACAAACAGGCCAAAGATATCTGCATCTTACAGCCCGGAAGCAAAAATGATTTTGCTGATGCAGGATGCGCTCGTATATCCTGCATTCCTTGATTTTAGTTCTTATGTTCAAGGCTACGACGAGAGAAGAGAGTGAATGGGAAGGTTCGGCCCTCTCTCACACAGCGTAATGCATCTCTTGATAGGAAAGAGATAGCCATTCCCTCGTAAGAATTTATCCTCCCTCGCCTATTACACAAAACAATAAGTCAATTGCTTCCTGTGTTTCGCCATTCACTCACCTTGCAGATTCTACCGCCTGGCATGAAATCACCAAGAGCTTCCCAAGCCTTTATCTTTCTCTCCCTTCTATTCCATCCCATCCTCTCCGCTCTCTTCGCTGGTGAATCATAACTCGGCTGCTTTCTGTTCCCCTGCTAAAAGCTTAAGTTTTAGTGAAACCCATTGGCTGGCAAAAAGTTAAAGTCCTAACATCCAAGCAACATGCACCAAAGACAACGCAAGGGCAAAAGGAAAGACCATTCCCTTCCTACCAATGAAGATTCATGAGAGCCTATTTGCTGGCTTCTCTGGTTAACCCTTGACTATTACTAATGAAAGCGAGGAATAGAGACTCACCTACAGGGCAACTTCCAGTTGGCCCGTCTTGGAGGAAGACACCAAAGGCTTGCAGGCTAGCATGTGCACACAGAAACACTGCCTATTGAAACTTGCCCAAAGGCGAGTGATCAGCAGCCGTCCAAATGCCATGGGAGGACGAGGACAAATGCACCGGTGCCTGCGCTGGGGCTATGTGTTTGGACAGCGAGTCAAGATGCCACAAACACTGGGTCCTCCAGTAGAGAGGTTAGAATAAGGCAATTTTCTCTGCAGTCTATTTTAGCAGGGGAACCCTCCCCCAAAAAAGGGTCAAAGGGCACTACTGGGGGACAGAACACCATCACCAATTGTGTTCAAGAATGGATTGACTTTCGGCATGCGTGTCCTGTAGTCGCCTTGGTTCTTGAAGCTGCAAAGGTAGTGAGGCGTGAGCACAAACCACCTCTGCCGCCATTCCTTCAAGTGTTTGGACTGCTTCACCAGGGAGCCTTCGAAAAGAATGTCGTCCTTGTGGATGACGATCTGCTGCGCCATAGCAAGAAGGGCCAGGAAACGAGGGAAGATTGGGGGGGGGGGTTCCACTGTGACCCTCTTGATCCAACACGCATGCGAGCACCCCCAGAAACGGACCTTGGGGGTAGGAACGATCTTCAAGAGGTGACTCTTCGTGGTTGGCGCGATCCAAAATCTAAGCTCAAAATGGGTAGGTGCATTCTTATGTCGGCCAAGCAAGAACGTATGCAGGGACTTTGCTGTCCCCACCGCCAACTGAACCGTTGTACAGTCTAGTCCTTTCAATCCCCCTCCCTTTGGTGCATTGTGGGGGTGAGGGATACGATGTTGATGCAAACATCAGTCCAACACGTTGCACGTTGCCTGCTCTCAGGTGGTTCTTCAAGACGTCGACTCAAAAAGTGCCCCCAGGTTTGATTCAGTCACCTTTGCTATACCTTGGAATCATTTGTCTGCAACATCCACCAGGCTCGAAGTACTAAGGCCCGCACACTGGGTCCAAATCCGGGTCCGCCTTTGCCATTTCGCGCATGGCAGCATCGCAGCCATCGTGCGCGCCCATGAAGCCAGAAACTGCTCTAGTCATTTCGCCTCAAGGATATTTGCATCAGATCATAAGGCTGGCTTTATCTCAACAAAGCAGGGCTTGCAAAGTGCGTTCAACACCTTCATGTTGACTTCGTCCGTGGAAAAACTCTGGCGTGACTGGCCTGCGTGTCACGAAACAAACAGGCCGTGGTGAGGTTGAGCTGAAGTTCTTAAGCTTGGAAAGCGCAACTTCCAAAGGCAAGCCAGCAAAAGTGACAATGCAATGGAATTGATCCGGCATTCGATGGCGGCATCATGAAATGCACCGTGCAAATGCATGACAGCTCCTCACACAGGGATCCCTCAACATATATATATATATATACATATGCACACATACATATATATCTATATACGTATATCAACTGGTGCTTTGCCTCACATGTATATATACAGAAAGGCATAAATCAACGGGTGTTTTGCCTCCCTGACATGGCTAAGTTGAACACTGCAAGTTTTGCTCGCAGCTCATGGCTCGCTCGCAGCTCATGGCTTGTGGCTGTCCAAGGTGAAACAGTGGGCATCACAGTTTCCTTGCAGGATGCTACCGGGAATTCATCAATTCTCCCCACCCAACCACTACGGCTTTGTAATGAGCCAGGGTCTGTGGGCGACGTGCTTCGGGTGAAAATGGTTAGGTATAACTATCAAACACACTGACATGAAAACTCTGCTGCGCCCAAACAGCCGCTTGCAACATCAGCCTTCACAACCTGTCATGGCCCTCATACTCCCCATGAACCGTGCGACTTTGGCATGACCCTGGAAAGATACCCAGGCAACGCTACACATTTTTTCAGGTATGCACAGAGTGCAACTAGCATTGCTAGCACTTTGCTTGGATGACTCCTGCTTCCGTTTGTTTAGGCGCTTCGACTCACAGACCAACAAAATGGAGCGTCGTGCGCCTCAAGTCATTGCCAACTGGGCTCTGGCAAATGGGGGGACGGAGATGCAAACTTGAGTCCACAACCCCTGATCCAACCAAGGCTTCGCTACCACTCTTTCGTCTTGCAGATGCATCCGGAAGACCACAGCGGGTCCTAAAAATTCATTATGGACACTCTGGTGGGTTCCATAACAACGTGGACACCAGGCCATGTATCCCACAAAAACGGGAACACCCAGAAAATATTGCTGGTGGTCAGTAGGGGATGGGGGAATAAACCCAGTCCCCTTAACTAAAACCAACAGTTGGACCAGTTGGATGGTTTATTTCGGCGTCAGACGCCATTTCTCCTTCTAACTGCATCTCTCGCAGCACCCAGCTTGGGTGCTGTAGATCCCCCAGCGCAAAAAGTGTTTAACTTGTTGCAACGGTTAGAAAGAAATATACGGAAATATGAGGGGAATCCCACACTTTTTGGGGGTGTAGTGGAAAACCCAACTTGATTTCCCAAAAAGCTAAAGTCGAAAGCTCCCAGCTACTAGCGGTGACCGCCAGAGAACCAAACCCGGAAGCCCAGGGCCTTCCAGCTCCCGCAGCGCCGCCCAGGCCGGGTCCGCTGGAGCTCCTCCGGTCCTCAAAAACGTCACCCAGAACCATGTAACGAGTTACAGGAGGGGCGCCAAAAGCCTGCGAGGAGAACCCCTCATATGGTCCGCCACAAAAAAGAATTGGTTGGAAGTGCCTACTTTGCAAAGACTTACCACGGCGGATTTCTTTTTCTCTCTCTCTCTCTCTCTCGCTCTCTCGCTCTCTCTCTCTCTCTCTCTGCCGCACCATCGGTAAGCCGTCCACAGGAGGTGGGGTGCCAAGAGCCCATTGCGGAGAGATCCGCCAAAAAAGTATGGTTGGAAATATCCCCTACGAACCTTCACTTGCACGGGTTTTTAATTGTGGCTCACTTGGTTTCAAGCCAAGGCATGTCTATGCCGTCGGTGTTTATGTTTCAACATAAGTCACGCATGTGCGAGTCACACATGTAACACATGTGTCGACTTATGTGTCGCATACGTTTCAACAAGCCCGGCTTGCATGATGTCGTGATCGCTCGGGATTCCACGCAGAAACTATGTTCACTGTTGTTGAAGCCATTGTTTGCTGTCTGTGGGGGGTGGGCCTGGCAAAACCGGTTCTTTTCTCAGTGGTCCGTTGGTCCTTACAAGCCAACTTCGAAGTCCAAGGCTGAGATCGGGAAACGCAACGAGTTTGATCCCGATCTCCTGACCCCTGCTGCCGCCTCCGCCGCCTCTGCACGGCGCAACGCCTTCAGTGCCCGTACCGCCGCCTTTTTCGCCTCGCGCAGGAGCCAGCCGCAAAAGAACCAAATGAACGGACAATCAAGCAGGGATTCCGGATGGAAGACGGCCGACTGACAGGCGATTCTACAATCCCACAAACCTAACCTGCCAGCCAACCCACAAGAAAACCACGCAAGCGGACACCAAACCAAACCAACCGATTCGGGATATCTTTCTGCCCGATCACGGGATCCAACTTCGTTCTCCCTGGCCTTCTTCCGCGCCTTGCGCTCCTCCTTCTCCGCCTGACCCACCAGTTATGGAACGTTGCATAGTGCACGGGTTTCCCATCAGGAAGAGTTGGCTTTAGAGCAGACCCCCCTTGATATCATAGGCCCTCGAAACCCCATCCCTCGTGCGCCAGGGTCCTGCATGACAAGTTGAGGCATCGCGGCTGTGACAGAGCCCCGGAAGCCCCATGCATCCAAGCCGGACGGGAACCAATTGGCACATTGCCAGCTTGCCGCGACCCAGAAGAATGAAAAACACAGTGTATAGGGTTGGGACCGTCCCTAATGAGCCTGAAACCGAGAATCACATTCCTTTACAACCCCTGGTATGGTAGCAACACACTTTGCTTTTTGCACACCCCACTAAAGATGAACAGAACCCAAAAAACCTACCCTCCCACCGACTAACATGGAAGTGCGCAGACCCCTGTGAAAAGACTACTCTCCTCCTGGAAAGGGGCTTTGTGCACTTCCATGTTGATGGTGTAAAACCACTCAAAACACGCCAACAAGATGTCCAATAGTGATAGATGCCCTTTAAAACCAACAAGGGACAATAGCCAATGTTGATTTCAGCAAATAACCTTTGGACATGGACCCAGCAAACCAACACCACCAGGACTCCTTAAACAACTGTTTATTTTATTTTATTTTTTATTATATATTGTCCTTTAAAAACGCACACACACAAAACAAAAGCCAACAAAAGTGAATATTCGGGAGGTCTACCCGAGACTCACGGTCCATCATGCCTCCTCCAAGGCCACCCGCTTGTTTCGCTGAATGCGGCGCCGCAGGCCCAGGGCCGCGTCGTTCTCCGACATGAACTTGCACCTACGGCGGACGGGCCGCTCGTCTTCTCCCGGGGAAACCATATAAATTGTTTTTTGTTTGACAAGCTTCATAGGGGGTTCAACCAATTTTGGAGGAAACCCAACTTTTTGGAGGTCAAAGGGAGTCTTTGGCGGGAAACCGTATTTTTGTTGGATGGGGTGCAAAGGGAAACCAACAGGAAAACACCAACTTTTCTTGGGGGGTTCCACTGATCTTAAGACAACCTTAATGGGAACACCCAGGGACAGTGAAGCAACCCCAACCACCTGAAACCCGAATCAATGGAGGAAACCAGCCGCCCTGAACCACGCCAGGAAAGGTTTCTAGGTCCGTCTGAGGTTCTTCGAAGAACTCTGAAACGGGGAGGATAGCCATGCTCTCCTGATTTGAAGCCGGCACGGAATCAAGTCAAGTAGGGCCGCAGAAAGGAACAACTTAGGCCTGACAACCTCCAACCTGTCACACGGTCAAGACTCAGACAGTGGACCACTTGCCTTCACTTGGACTTTGTTCGAAGGCGAACGTGCTCTAAGGGTACTTGTCCAACACGGTGCTTGGACAGCACGCAAATGGAGCCTGAAACCACCAGGTGCAAGACACAACAACCCTCTGGCGCTTCAACATCCTCGGACTGGAAGAGCTACGGCTTCAATGTGGTGCCTCCCTTGCAACACCATTCAATCAGGAGTGGACGGTTTCCCAAGAAATATAGGGTGTCAACCATTTGGGAATTTGGCAGAATAACTAGGGGAACCTGTACAACTGGTGTTCCTTTTGGCTTCGCTTCAAGCCGACCTGAAAATTGGTACCCTCAAACAAACACATGCCCATGTTGTTGTGTCTCTTTCCTTAAATTAAAGAGTCCCCTCTTTTTCTTGTGGTATTAGAAAAGGCCAGCCAAAAAGGACCTCGCCAGTTGTTTGTTCCATTTTTGAGTGTTCCCCCCTTTTTCGTGGTTTCAAAAAGGCCAGCCAACAGGGACCACTCGCCAGTTTTTTCCTTTTTGAGTGGTCCCCCCTTTTTTGTGGTTTCAAAAAGGCCAGCCAACAGGAACCACTCGCCAGTTTTTCCTTTCTTGAGTGTTCCCCCCTTTTGTGTGGTTTCAAAAAGGCTAGCCAACAGGAACCACTCGCCAGTTTTTTCCTTTTTGAGTGGTCCCCCCTTTTTCGTGGTTTCAAAAAGGCCAGCCAACAGGAACCACTCGCCAGTTTTTCCTTTCTTGAGTGTTCCCCCCTTTTGTGTGGTTTCAAAAAGGCCAGCCAACAGGAACCACTCGCCAGTTTTTTCCTTTTTTGAGTGTTCCCCCCTTTGTGGCTTTAAAAAGGCCAGCCAACCACTCGCCATTTTTTGACAACCACCGCGTTTTCTTGGTTGACGTTGGAAGGGGAGCAACAAAAACAAAAAAATAGCAGTTAAGTGGTTGGATTTCAACCACTAAACCACAATAAGCAAAAATACGCAACATGTGTCCCGTTGCAACAACCATGAAAAGGCCAGCCAACAGGAACCACTCGCCAGATTTTGTTCCTTTTTTGAGTGTTCCCTCCTTTGTGGCTTTAAAAAGGCCAGCCAACCACTCGCCATTTTCTTTGACAACCACCGCGTTTTCTTGGTTGACGTTGGAAGGGGAGCACAAAAATATATGTTTTAGCAGTTAAGTGGTTGGATTTCAACCACTAAACAATACGCAACATGCGTCCCGTTGCAACAACCATGAAAAGGCCAGCCAACAGGAACCACTCGCCAGATTTGGTTCCTTTTTTGAGTGTTCCCCCCTTTTTTGTGGCTTTAAACAGGGCAGCCAACAGGAACCAATTTGGGTGACCACCGCCGCGTTTTTTCCCTCGGGTGCGAGGCGCTCGACCAGGCCGTAGTTCTCGCTGGAGCTCACCGACTGGATGTCCTCCGGATCCGGCGCCTGGCCGAGGGGATCGCGGCTGAGCTTCGTCCCCGCGCGGGCGAGCGTCGTCTTGCGGAGATCGCGGCCTTTTTCTTGGCTGGAAAATTAGGACCCCAGCAAAAAAAGAGTTGTTTTTTGTTGTGTTTGTTTTTTGGCCTGGTTAATGGAAAACAAAGGGACCCCAAAAAAGCGAAAGAAAAAACAAAAAAAAAAAACAGTCAAGAAAGGGAGCTAATTCTGGGGAAGCTTTGAGGAGGGGGGGTGTGGCATTGGTCTCTTCCAGTTTTCTAATCACAGAAAGGAAATGCAAATGGAATTCCAACCCCTTGCTATGGGTCGTCAAGGGATACCCAAAGGAGCATCTGAGGCCACACTCAAAGGTTGACGCATTGCTTCCGCGGCTCAAACTTGATGCGCATGGGCACAGCGTTGCCAGCCTCCTGTTTTGTTTCCTGCTCGTCCCGGGAGTCGCTTTTGGGACCTCAGTGCCAAAATTTAGCACCTGAGAATGCAACACTGCGCTGCAAAAGGCAGCCTGCAATGCAGATCATGCTTCCGTGGTAATGAATCTGCACCACTTAGCTTTGAACCTCAGCTCAGCATGGTCAGGCCGAGCGGCGCTTGCGACTGGTTTTTCTTTCCTCTGACTTAGATGCAGATGCTTCGGCTTTCCCTCTGGGCTCCGAGGTCTTGGAAGATCTTTCCTTGCCCTTCCTGCCCTGCGCGCGCACGCCGCACCCCGGCACCTCTCACGGAGTGACATGAGTGGACTTCCAGTGCCACCAGTTTCCGCGGTGTCATTGGGAAAGGCGCGCAGATGCAAAGCAAGGCAAGACACTAGAACAGGGCTCCCTATATTTCCCCTTAAAACATCACCCCCACCAAGCGCTACTCAGCTTTCATGGACCAAAAAGGTGATGTTTAAAAGCACCAAAAAGGGGGAAATATAGGGACCCCTGTAGAACATTAGGCCATAAACAAAATAACAACTCCGCATGCCCGGCATGACTCCCTGCCGTGCCCTCATGCACTGGAGTCAGGTTGTCGTGCGGGAGCTTGCCGAGACGTCCGCAGGCCGTTCTCACTAGCGTGTGTATGCAGAAGGTTGCAAACACCAAAACCATGCCCACATCCGTGCAAATTGACATGGAACTCACCAACACGCCAATCTTACAGAAACCTCCTGCCCTGAGCCTCGGACCCCTCTTTTGGCTTCCATGTTCATGTCCACAGCTACTTCCCAGTCCTTCTTCTTCTTTTTCTTCTTCACCTTCTTGCTCCGAGCCGGCTCCTTGGCCTGTGCCTCTTGGCTCGCCAGTTTCTCCGCAGCCGCCCCCTTCTCATCTGAGCGCAGCCAATCCACAATTGCCGCTACTTCGAGGCGGACATGGAAAGAGGCAATTTGACAATGAGAATTCCCCATGCCCGCGTAGCCACCAGTTGAAATCTTGCGCGCCATGGATTGGTGGGCATGCTGCAGGCATACTACCCGCCCTGTCCCGGCAAATCCATCGAGTCACTCTGAGCTTTCGCGTTTTGCTTCCAGTCAGGGACTCCCGGCCTGAGAGAATTGGCCCCAAAAAGTCCAAACTAATTTGTCCCACGAATCATATGTTCTCAAAGAGAATGAAATATGAAGCCATATGAAGCCCGCAACCGGACGCGAGCAAGGAACCAAGTGAAACAAATCGGCATTCGATGAAGAACGATAACAACCCTGCCTGCTGCGCCCTTCCTCGGTCGCCCCAGGGAGCTGACGCGAAGGCAAGTGATGTGCTCGCATACCGCTGAGTTTGTCAAATTCAGGTAGACCAAGCCCAGCTGATTGAGGACTCCACGTTTGGTGCAGGAATGATCAATTTCAAGGGGGAGGTTTCATGTTGATTGATTGCGTCTTGCGTTTTCTCCTGGCTTGTGCTACTGACTGGCGGCGCCAAAATGCGTTGCCTCCTCCTGTTTCGTAGCGCAAGAGAAATAATCGGTTGGCCTGTATGAATTGCCGATTTGCTAATACCACTTAATACCAAGAAAAAAAGAATTGCCTTTTGGGCCATGCGGAACCTGGTCCCAAAGCACAACTATGGTGTGCTGTCCGCGCACCTGGAATGCGACCATGTTTTTTCCTGCAAAGGAACTCTCAAGTCCCCAGCAAGTGGGCTTGAAAAGAACCCCGTCTTGAAACCAAAGGATTCTCCATGGCGTTCAACCTTACTTCCAACAACACCCGCCAGGCCTGACACCTTGTTGCCTACTGCGCTGCTTGCAGATCTCGGTGCACCTTCGCTGCACAAAGCTAGTCTGCGTATTGCCCAGAGGAAGAAAAACAACGGCGTTCACATCTTTGACCTCTACGAATTTTGAGGTGAGCCTCTCCTCTTGGGCCGACTAAGCCCTGGCAAACTGGGCAGCCGACTTGATTTTGCGCTGCTGCGTCGTGGGCTGGTCCAAGCGGCTCCAGTGTCTGGCGCGCTGACAGTCTTGGCACTTGGGCCAGGTGACACGCACATTACCGGGTTGGTCTCCAAATAGGAAAGCCCTTCTTTCAACCAACCCAAAACGGGCACCCTCGAGAAAAGTCGCACCCTATCCTTCCCCAAAACAAGCATGAACAATTCGCGGGATGCGTTGAAAGACTTCGCCAAACAGATCTCGGAGGCAGTAAGGGCACTTTCCCGCTTGCTGGTGGTGCGTGTGGGTATGTATCATTCCTTTCGACAACCACCAAGCCGGAAGATCATGCTATGCTACGGAAGAAAGCTGACTGACCAAAAGTCAGGAATCATTGGTAAATTCGGGTTGCTCTATTTACTTCCTAAGCCTCGTATGAGCAACCTTGTCCATGTTGCATTCAATTTTGTTTTGTTGCGTGGAACTGGACAAGGTGCGTGTTGGGAGACCCCAATGAACTGCATGCGAAAAGGCACCCGTCCCTGCGTAGCTATCGTACTGCAAGACCACTTGGATCGGCTGTGTGCTTACTAGTGACTTAGCATGGTTATGATGGTTAGCTAACGACTTATAACAAGTTAGCTAAGTAGTTAACTAAGTGTTTCCTAAGTAGTTAGCTAAGCTTGAATATAGACTTTAGTCAGCACTCAAGCTGAAATATATAAGCCCGGGAAAGTTGCAAATTTCCTTAGTGAGCAGCCTTCGAAGCCTGACAAGCACATTGAGAACAATAGGAAAAGCCTATGAAGGCTGAGCCAAAAAGCCTGAAAAGGCTGACAGCCCCCCAAAGCTGAATGCCAGTGTGTAGCCTGAACAGGCTGACAGCACATGTCTCAAGCCTGAAAAGGCTGAGCCTGGCATGAGTCAACAAGACAGCAATAAGCCTGGAAAGGCTGACAGCCGATGCAAAAGCATTGCTGTTTTGCAAGTTGGCCCCGTCATGCATTTCACGGCCTGTGGGCCCAAGGCACCAGCACCCTCAGCCCATCTTTGCTGGGGCAAAAGGCGACAGGTGTCAGCAAGTCTGCTGGTTGCACCAGAACCAGCTCACCTGTTTCTTTGACCAAGGCTGAGCAAGTCTTTGCACAGTATTCCACAAGAGTAAAGGGAGAAACAATACTGTACACAATACTGCCCACTTGGAAATGTAGGGAGATGGCTGCAACCTCCCAAGCTTGGCCCTGCTGGCTGCCAGCCATGAGCACAACATCCTTTGCCTGACAAGAAGCACCAGTTCGCAGCTTGGCTTGGTTGCCCACATGGATGCAGTCATCAGACATTCCCATGCCCAAAGTCATGCGAATGCGCAGGGCCAGCTTCTTGTTGGCAGCGCGAGGCTTCGTTAGGCACGCACCCTGCTGCCACTGCTGGAACACTGCGCTGTGCTTCAGTGAGTGCAAATCATGCGCAAGGACCTCCTCCAAGATGCTTTGCTCATAGACAGACAAATTTGTGGTGGCAGTGGCATATCGGGAGCATACTTTGTGCTTTCTTTCCAGTGACCAGCAAGAGGGCAAAACGCCATGCAGCTGCAGTGATGTTGCTAGATGCAACAGCCAGTGAAACTTTCGTGTCATGTAATTGGACCAGCCAGCTTCCTTTGTTTTTCGCAATGCAAATTCCACTTGCTTTTGAAGGACGGGGGGAGCCACTCTGTCAGAAGCTTGTAGTAGCTCCAAGACCCGATTCATGCTGAGGAATGCTTGGCATTCCAGCACATGGCTGCCCTTGGGCACGAACACATGCGCGGCCAAAAAAGCAAGAAGAGGGCATAAGCTCAGTGTTTCTGACGCGCTGCACTTGAACTTCTTGGCTTCCTTGTAGCTTTTGACCTTCTTGCTTGAAAAGAGCTCAGGCAAGGAGCCAGCCTTTTGCCAAGTAGCCGGCAAGGTCCACAGCTTCAAGTAAGTCTCCATGCTTTCCCAACCCAGTGTTGCACACAGCAGGTATATCATTACTTGCATAACCCCCTGTGAAGCCATTGCGTGCATCCAATCGTGGCACCACTGGCTGATTGGCTGCAAGACGTTCTGGTCCAACAGCTGTTTGCACAAAAAAAGGGAATGCTGGTTGTGTGTGACTCCACACGCCTGCTGCCAGTCATCAAATGCTCTCTTGCTCATGGCCGTCTGGTTGGCAGCACACCTCTGGTAAGCCTGTAGCACTTCCTGGTTTGTTGCAAGCTGACATTGTGAAAGGGTACACACATCAGACCCGAGCATGTCATTCTCATCCTCAAGTTCCTCTTGAAGAGGTGCTCTGACATTTCGGCACATCACGCAAAATTTGCTTCCTGAATCTCCTTTGCAGCTGTATATGTACTTCATTGCACTGCCATCAGCCAGGAACATTCCGAATTTGAAAAACAGCCTGATGTTCTGGCAGCTCTCTCCAGACTCATGCTTCAACAGGAGGCCAAGGCGTGGCTGGGCAATTTCTTTACAGAAAAACTGCTGAAGAACCAGTGCCATGATTTGGCTCATGTTAGCCTGCACAGTGTGGGCAGTAGAAGACCTCACACACCCCAGTAAGAACCAGTTGTCTTCTGAGGCCAGGAGCTGCTTCAGCTGAAGGAATGAGCCATATATCACCCAAGCTTTCCTCTCCTTGATAGCCCTCCCAGCAAGAAAGCATAAAGCACCCCTACAACATTGGCTGCACCCTGTGGCTCAACAACACGAAAAACAAGAACAGCTCCATGCTGGTTGCAGAGTAGAAGCGAGTCTGTGAGCTATGCAATTGCCTGGGACAACTTCATCTGCGTATAAGACCAAGTCCCACGGCCTGGTATGGGAGCTTGGGTTGCTTCCATGCGTGGTCTGAAGCATGGAAGCCCAAGACCCGCCTTGAGCAAATGATGCTGCCAGTAAGGAAAGCCCATTGACCAGCCACAACTGCACTGTCTCGCCAGAGGTGCCCACTGCATGCACTTGCTGCATCAAGGGCCCATACAGATTGTTCTTGCAGAGCTGGGCCCTCGTTGCCTCCGTCATATTCTTTGAAGACATTAAATCAGGAAGGCCATTTGTTTTGACGTTGGACAAGATGGCCTGCAGGGCACTTTTGCTTGCATATGGACAATCTCTCCTCAAGGAGTTTAGCCTTTGCAGCTTGGCTTCCCTGCCACTTTGGGCTGCCAAGCGGGCCTTTGGCTTTGTAGCAGCACGATCCATGGCTTGCTGCTCTTTGGCTGAGCCATGTCATGTGGGATGGAAGCATGTTTTGCCAGCATGCTAATACGCGGGCCCACGGTTGGAAGGGACTACTTGCTGTCTTTGCTGTATAAGTGTCATGTTTTGAGCAGGGGCTGCTTGCTTCTTGTAAAACTGAGCATGTGCAGCTGCAGCACGGCAGCCATCTTGGCCACAGCCTTCCAGATGCTGACCTCAAAGCTGTTCCTGCGCTCAAAAGCCTATTCCGGTCAACGTCTGGCTGATGTGCTTTTTCCTTGCAGGAAGTTTGAGAGCAAGCCTTGCTAGGCTAACGCATTGTGCCTCACACCATAATGAGAATTCAACAATGCAAAGACTGGCTGGCTGCCCATGGCAGCACAGGCATCGACCATTGCAACCTGTTGCTGTGGCAGTAGCCTGCAAAGGTCAAGTGCAGAAACGTGTCAAGTGCTGAATAGCTTAAGCCTATTTTGTGCTGCAACACATGAAAGGTATACAGACCTGAAAAGCCTGAAGAAGCTAAATGGTGACAAGCCTGAAAAGGCTGAGTGCTGCCTCAAAGCTGATGGCTGCAACTGGGAACTTTTCTCTGCCATGGGCAAATCTAAAGGGCAAGCAAGCTTTCTTTGGCTTGCTGCGTGGTCTCGCCCGCCTTAGTTCGTGCAGGTGCACGTGCTGTCTTCATCTACGAACTTGGCCCAATAGCTCGTGCTGCACTGCCCTGTCAGCAATGCCTTGCTTGGCCAGCATGTTTTCCCCTTTGATCCTCAGATGCAATGCTGCCACCAAGCGCACCGCTTCCACCAATCTAGAAAGTCACAAAATGCTAAAACCACCAGAACTGGCCAGCCAAGCTGCCACTCACACCAGCCAGAACTGTAGACAATGCAGAAATACAATTCATTTTCATACACCTCCCAGCTCAGTCTGCCATGTCGCTGCCACCAGTGTGGGTTCTCAGGCAGCCAGCCCAGCCTTCTTGCCATGCCCCCACCATCAAACATTGCTTTGTGGGGACCAAGGCTTGAGCTTGAATAGGAGCATCACTCTCTTTGCAACATGCTGGCGCAGCTTGGTCATCTGAGAAGCCTGACAAGGCTGAGAGCACAACATGCTGGCAACACACAAACACACAGGAAACACGCACAAACACACTCAATGCTGCTCCCCCCCCATGAAGCCTGAAAAGGCTTATGTTATCGGAGGCGCGTGAACCCCAGTGAAAAGATGACGCAAGTTTGGCGGGTCTTGCAAAAGTTGTTGCTCTGAGCGGAACATGCATCTTCTTCAAGAAGCTAGAGACATTCGGTGTCATCCACACAAACTGAAAGTAGCTGCATGTGTTGAAGATGAAACAGATGATAGTTGCCTGACAATGCGCACTCACCAAAGCTGGCATCTGAAAACAACTTCATGAAGCTCTTTCAAGGCTGGCAGACATCCTTCGTGCCATCTTGTTCTGGCGCAAATAGATTGAGCCTGCGCATGGCAAAGCAATGCTTTGCAGGCAGGGCACCCTGAGCAGCTTTGTACAGCTGCACGCATGCAGCTCACTTTTTGCCATTGGCTGCGGCCCATTCCTTCCACTCACCTCTGCTGTAGAACTTTCTGCCAGAAAAGCCTGGCTTCCTGCATGCTTTGCATCCGTTGACGTTTCCCCTGCACCGGATGCATCCCCATGAGCCAGAGGCTGAAGGTGGCCCCGCGGCACTGGAGCCAGCTGTCGGGACTCTTGCCGCTGGTCTTTTCATGACTGCAGCTGGCCTCTTCATGAGGCTTTTGTTCTTGCCAACCTTCTTGTTCTGGCTTGAAGGAGGCTCACCTTTCTTCCTCTGCTTCT